CTTTAATAAGAAACCTAAAATTAATACAGGCAATGGTGAGTAAATTATCTACTGATATAAAAAAGTTATATTATAATTTTTTTTTATTATTTATGACCCCAACAGTATTAATCCGAATAATCTCATCCCAGTTTTGGCTGAATCAAAGTCAGATACAAATTTTTAGTTGGAGGTACTTTCAATTTGTATTTTTAGTAAAAAGGTTTTTTAAAACTTTAAATTTGTTCAATACCAACTCTGTATCGTTTTATTTTAACTATGCAAAACAAATGATTCACATGTACCTACTCATTTAAATTTCGAACCTTTGTAAATCAATGTTGTTTACACATATTAAAAAAAGTTTAAAATAAAAAAAAATGAGTTTAATTACACATTCTAAATTGTTATGAAACAAAACAAATTTAGTTTTTGGTTAGAACTGTATAGCACTTGATGAAAAAAAAAAAAAATGTAAAAGTCATCAAAGTCCTAGCTCTAATCATTACTTATCGTGTAGCGGTACCGCGCTTAATTACTGTAAACTTCTTTAAATTGCGTTGCCTTCGTTGCCTCAACTGTGGCATTGTCGGCCTTGAGAGTAGTTGCGTATTCGAGAGGTTGACGACGGTGAAATAAAGATACATTACCGCTAACAGTACGATTGAACTTGCTTTTATTAGTGATTAATAAAAGGTTTTATTTTGTGATAATACTTATATCGTACAAAGTACAAATGTAGAACAATTGTTCGGTAGGAATATTATGTCTAAAAGAACCGAGTAGCAATCGTTCCAATTCGTTTTTTTCTGGACTCGTTCCAAAGGAACGTTTAGTTTCATAAAAGACCCGTCACTAATTAATAGTTATTCACTGACGAGACGAGTTGTATGCGATTTCGAGATCTACCAAAAGATTTGAATGTATTTATACTTTATAGTGTCGTAATTTTATTTAGTTCATTTTTTACTTAGTGACTATACCTTCTAAAAGATCTCATAATATGTTGAAGAATGAATTTCCTCAAATTAATTGGAAAGTTCGATTTTTTGCTATTGCAGTGAATTTTTGCATAAAATTACGTAACATATGGTTACGACACTTAATTTTCTCGACCAAAAAATTAGGACCATAAAGTAAAATATCTTTTAATCGTTTGGTGACACTGCTGTCACCATCGCCTGTAACATGAGTCATATATATCATTTTAAATATTATTTATTGACACAACACAGTTGATAATTATTAATTACAGTAATCCCTCGTTATCCGCGTTTTTTTATCCGCGGTTGGGTCCACGATAACATATTTTTAATGCGATTGCGATAACGTTTTACCGTTATTACACGAACACTGTAGAAATTTATTTTTGACAATAATTGTAGATAATTGTTGCTATATCGCCTTAGGTCTAACATATATACATTAAAAATACTTATACTTATTGTAGATAAAACACAAAAGGTTACCTACACCTGCACGATTAATAATCGTCAATTGCTCAGTTGTAAGATAATATTTGTGCGTGACACTTGTACAGCAGTGTTTAATAAATTTAGTAGTGAAAATATTTTTAAATGGCTTCTCAATGTAAAATATCAATAAAAATGGAGAAGAAATGTTTTATTACTCGTTCAAAAAATTGAAATTTTGGACAAATTAAAAAGTGGTGATACTGTAGCGTCACTTATTAGAACGTACAAAATGAATGAACCTAGTGTTCGAGAAATATGTAAACATTAAGAAATAATACAATAAATAATAAATAAATTAGTTGTAGGGATTAAAAAATTATTAATTGATTAATAATTAATTTTTAAAATTAAAAAAAATTAAACCTAACCTCCCTTTTTACATTTTTACATACAGTCTCGTTATCCGCGGATTCGCTATCCGCGCAGGTTTGCTGGAATGTAACCTTCGCAGATAACGAGGGATTACTGTATTAATTAATTGCAATATTTTAATGCAATTTTTAGATACTAACATAGGTACTCACCAAGTAAATTACGATACGCAGTGGCGTACATACATGGGGGGGGGTCGGGTTCAAGCCCCTCCAAGACCAAAAAAAAGAAAAAAGAAAATTGTGATATAATTGATGACGGTAATATATTCGTAATTTCATTGTTACGCTTTGAACCTAAAATATACAACTATACAAATATTATAATAATTAAATAATTATATTGAAAAATTATATTTGAAAAGTTTTGTAAATTTAGTTGTTTTTGTATTTCTATAGTTACTATGATAATTTACTATAATGTAAAAGTAAACGGTAAATTGTTAAAACAGTTGTATAAAGTAATATCTATTTATCTGTGCAACGAAAAAAAAATATAACAATTATTTTTGTTACCCCCCCCCCCCCTCAAAGTAAAATTAAATGTACGTCACTGAAGATATGTTAAACGTTACTAAATACGTAATTACAATACCAATATAATCAATAGAAACCAATAATAACACTAACATAATAAAAATTACACACTGAATATGACTAGCATATTATATACATATATTTACATATACCTATTTAAAATAAAGTTTAATAGAAAAATCTACCAATAAACATACAGATGCTTTCACTGTTTTAGTTTTTGGGTAGAATATTTTTATAGATGCTAGTTTACTATACTATAGGTATTAGGAATTTACAAGGCTGGGCAAGTTAACTAATTATTTTAACTCGTTAAAAGTTAAAAGTTAATTTGAAAAAAAAGTAACTTAACTTAGTTAAAAATAAGTTAATTTTCTTTTTTTTATGTACAATATATTATCATACATTTTTATCAAAGCTTAACAAATAACACAATATAATGGAAGTCTAACTATTTTCAATAAACATATGTAATTGTATTAAATACAGTAGGTACTTAGTAAGTACTAAATATAATTTTAAATATATGAAATTTATATTAGGACAAATTAATAAATTAACTCGTTAAGTTAGAAGTTGTTTAAAAAAAAAAGAAACTCGTTAAGCTGGAAGTTACTTTTGAAAATAAAAGTAACTCGTTAAATAACTTAGTTAAAAGTAACTTAACTTTTTAACTTAACTTTAACTTTTTAACTCGTTAATGCCCAGCCTTGGGAATTTATATTACATTTCAACAAGTAAATTCAAATTCTAAAATACAGTCGATTCTGCTTTATTGGGACACATCAGTTGCATGTTATTTTGTCCCAATAAAGCGGTTGTCCCAAATAATCCGAAATGAAAAAAACCATATAAATTTATTGAAAAATTGATTTCTTATGTTTTTATTATTACTAATACTTATTACAATAACACAATTATAGAAATTATTTATTAGATATTATTATACAAACATTTTATATAAAATTAATAGATGCTTACCTTTCTGTACAGATGGACCACCGATTTTTAACACCTATTTTTTAATACCTAGTAATTGTTTTTCTGATAGTACGCTTTACCATCAATTTTTTATTTGCCATAGTTAAAAATTAAGCTCTCGTGTTTCTCATCGAACGGACAAACGATAAATAACGAGTTTTAATTTTGGATAAGGTACAATTATTAGAAATTTAAAATATATGTTTTGTACTTCATAAATATTATACATACAGTATATTTGTATAGTATACATTGTATACGTATAAATATTTTTTTATATGATTAATATATAAATCACATAAGTGATTTGGTTTACTCGTTGAAAATGGTAAATATTTATAATAATATTATCCTTCACTAGTTAGATTAAGGCACTATAAAAGGTGGATATGATCGTTCGCTATTTTGCGACAGTTGATACATAGTGATAACAGATTCAGCCCATTCAGCTGAACATCTTATAATATGTTTTTAATTTATATATTATGTGTGAAACTATAAAATTCTACAAGACATGGGTGGTTGTACAGCGGTATACTGTTCCAATACACGTAGTGAAGGTTTTCGTCTTTTTCGGTTTCCAAGAGACCTTAAAAGACGAAAAACTTGGTTACAAAATTGTCGCCGTGACAAATAGCAACCTACAAATTCTTCTGAGTTATATGAAGAAGTATTAGATTAAACTAAAGAATCCTTATTCATAATGTATTTATACAATTTAGTCATGTTAATATTTTGTCAATTGTTTCCTTGTCGGGTGAAAATTGATTTGATACTTCATCCCTCTGCAGCAACGCGAATATTTTACTGCAAATATCTTCTTTTCGTTTTAAAAGCATTTGGTTTGTGTCCATATTTATATTTATATTCGACCTATGATTAAAAATCATAGTATCAATTATGGACATTTCCATGTCGTCGAGAAAACCACAATCGGTTTCTCATCTGAATTTATTTGATATTTTGGTCTTGAGGACCTCTTTGACACTGCTCAAAACGCACTTTAATTTTTTTTTCTCCGCGGACATGTTATAAACAGTTTTTTGTTCTTCATTGCACATATCTTTCAAGTTTTTTTTTTTTTTTTTTAGTGAAGCAACAATTACAAATAAATATAATCATAATGATAGTAATAAAAATAATAATAAAATTAATGATATTTATGGGTTGAATAATTAGTATTTTTCAGACTACAGTTCTATGACCTGTATACATTTAAGAATAATTTACTAAAACTATGCAAAACACGTGATTCGACGCTAAAATACAAACTCTTTTCTTACGGTAAAGGCTTTGTCTAACAGCTGAACAGGAAAATCGGACGGGGTCATTATTTTTGGATCGTTCAGTTCATGGTTTATCAATGTAACGTCCAAGTTGAACTGTTTATAATCACGTGTCACGCTCATTTTCCGTTCTCTCAGATAAACAACCATTTCGTTGAAAGCTGATATCGAGTTATCTATCTATTTATCATCAAATGAAAAACATAAGCAATCAGCACAACATCAACTGTACGTTCAAAACAATTCAAGCCACGGACCTTGTCTATGACGCGCATGTGCGCTTCAAATATATCTTCTATCGAAATCGTTTGTTCGCCAGGCAGATCGGAAGATTTCTCATGGTTCTTCAACGCGGGCTCGTCGTCGGTAACAAAACTAGTGAGTTTTCTTGACGTATGTTTTCGATATTCGTTGTTATATTTTTTTTGAAATTCACACGGTTTTTTAATTTGTCTATGGCACGTTGAATCGCCGGAGGTAAGGACGAGTATATTTTATCCACTCTTCGGAGAAACATTTCGATTTCGTTCGGTTATTGAACCACGTCGGCTTCCATATTTGTGATCGACGATTTCTGTTGCTTGAAAAATAAAGTTATAGACACGTAACGGCTGCCGCTGTATTTGTTGCTTTCTCTTCCGCGGTGGATTTATGTAAATCTGCACTTATACATTTCACGAATCGTCGCGTTGAACACGACATGATCGCATTTGGCATTATAATGCGGTTGTCACCTTATTGTGATTGTTATTAAATACTCACTGTGGTTTCGGATGCTTTTTAGACAATAATTCGTCCAATAAATCACGAAATATGCTCCGATGCGATTCACGGTTAACCAATGTTTTCACAAATTTGTCTTCTCTACGAACGAAACATTTTAGACTTGTTTACCATTTATGTTATCGTTATTTTTTAATTATTTATAAACTTATGTACTACCTATACACGTATCGAAATTATACTTACAAAATTCCCTTGACTTTCAATTTCGGTATTATGCCTCGATCAACAAAATAATTGACTTGTTGTAAATCTAACAGGCTATTTTCGTGTTCCAGCTCCAAATTCAAACGTAACTTTTTGGCTTCAGACTGTGTTTCTTTTACGGGTAAAACGCTGAACTTCTCGTTGAGCTGAAAATAATCTCTATGAAACGGTTGTGTTAATAACTTACTATCAGCTACTAATTGCTTGAATTTTTCCTTTATATTGGACAATAAACATCTGAATTTCTCCTTTTTTTTACAAGCGATTTCTAACGCTTTACGTTCAACCATTTTTCTCTCTTCCAAACTAAATTTCAGGTTAATCAATAAAAAAAACAGCTTACTTGAAAAATGTACGAAGAAGCAGCAAATCTTTTGCGTGCGGACGGCAACAATATCCGTCACTGACTTTATTTGGTATTTATAATATATACTTATATTTGTGTAAAGATACCCGATTGGAAAGTAAAGATGCAACTGGATTGGATAATAAATTGAACGCCGGATAATAATAACTACATGTAGTAATATTTGCACATAATACAAAATATTTACAAAAAACTAACTATGTGTAACTATGTTACAAAAAATAAACAACTTAATGTTTGCAGCCTTTATTTTAAATTGTTTATTTTGTTTAAAATTAAGTACAATATAAACAAGATTAGGTGTATGTTTAATATGTCGAGTACATACGTTTTTAATGAAAACATTCATACATTATACTACAACCATATTCGTATAGTATCAATAATACAAATAGATAATCGTATTAATGGCACAATAAAAAAATAAAAAATTGGTAAAGGCCAAATTTAAAAAATAATTATTTCATTTAATTAAATACCTACTACTTATTTCAAATATTTACCCTCCCTCCATCGGCTTCACCTATTTCAACCAACTTAATTTATATTGACTAGAAAAAAGAACCTAAATTAGTTGAAAAGTATATTTATCATCTTAATTTTTTTAGGTTAGGTTTACAGGTTTCATTATCCTAACCATTTCACCTCCACAGTTCGGTGCATCCCAAACGGTTTCCAACCATTGTTTGCTTATTCACAAACATCTACCGTCAAAAAAAGTTATCGAACAGATAAATTTCCAAACGGCTTAGATAGTTGACAAGAAATGAAAATAATTAAATACTTTAAAATCTACATTCTAAAGCCGATATCATACGAATGTGTACTTAGCAAGTATCATAATGGTCGATGTAGTTGTGTGTATTCTGTCGTTCTTACATGACTCATATATTATCAATATCTAATCGATAGCGTGTGTTCTGTCAATGACTAATTAACATTATTGACAATAATAAGAGCTTCAAATAGATACATAAAGATCTACATTAAAATCGATAACAATTTTGATGTTTATATAAACATACATTTTTTTAAAACATATTCTATTTGTTAACGCTAAAATTTAATATTATTTTAATACAATTAAATTCACAATATCAAATAAATTATTTTTTATGTAATTTTTATAATTTATTAAGAATATAGCCTTATAAAATATCAACACATTTTTAATTGTACCTATTTTGAGACAGCCCTAAGTCTGTATGAAGGGGAAGGAATTTGTGTTGTGAAAAACTGTAGCCTTTTGGAAATTTTCTTTTTTATAAAACGGAAGCCTTTAGTAATCCATATTTTTGAAAAATGAGTGTCATTTACGAAAATCGGGAGCCGAATGAGCTACGTTCTTACAGTTTACATCTGATTTTTATTAAAAAAAAGTTTGAACTAAAAAAAATATTATTTAATATTATTCCATTGAATTTGAAAATATTATATCCTTCCATTATTTAAATATTTAAAAAATATATCTGGAGGGAAGCAAGTGCTTTTTTTAATACAAAATTATGCCACTAAATCGTATTAATAAAATGTATGGTGACAGATGATGCACGATTATAGATTAAATCAATTATCATAGATGCATTGTATATTTCTATGAGTAACCTTCATACTATGGGTTCAATCTCTTTTGAGTCCTTTTGTTCCACGTTATTCCATTTTTGTAATTTTGAACTGCCGAAAATCAAAAATGCAAGTCCTGTTGTTGAACAAACCGCTGCTGATACGATGAAAACTTTTTTCCATTGTTCAATGGTTTGCTATAGAAACATAACTTTTCTTAAAATAGACATCATCGTATCAATAATTATTATATGTATAATATATAATTATGTTTGATGGTCAAATAAGTTAAATTAATGAAACATGAAAGGCTATACAAATAAAAATATATAGTGTGATTGATAACAGAAATTTATGTTGACAGTGTCAAATTAATAAACGGCTTTTATTTTTACAGTAAGGTATGTATATTTTATATTTAAATATCTTGCACTAAGTCGAACTTAACAAAAAAACATGTGCATTATAGTAAATTTGTGAACATATTTTGTTGCATATTACTTACATTGTTTTTAGTTTTTAATAGTTCTTGAAACAATAAACGTATAAAGCAAAAACTGAAGAAATAATTCCCCTGATAACTTTTTTAATGAGATATTAACAGTGAAACGTCAATATTACAGAATCAAAAAAAAAAAAAAAAATGATAAATTTCAATCTCTACTCGTATATCTTTTCATAATAGTATGAGTACTGTAAATCAGGGGTGGTCTGGGCCGGTGGCTTACTGTCTTATAGGACAATGGGCCGCTTCCCGTATATATATATATTACGGGCCGATGCCCGCTGGCTGGTATCTACGGGTTACGCTTACGCCTAACTAAATTACAAAAATAATTAAGCAAAATATCAACTAGAAATTAAACAGTATGATGGAACGGTATAATCAATATTCATAAGCACGTTCTATTACCTACTACAAACGTCGTGGCATCCAGACCATAGAGCTGGAGTGTAGTTATCATGTGCTAAGATAATAAACGACTAGAAACGAACAAACTGGAGGGTGTGGGAGAAATTGCTACAAAAGTATATAGAATTTGATGGCACAGCCAATATGCGTGGTGAATTTAACGATCTTCAAGCGTATATCAGAAGAGAAAATCCTAAAAGTGTATATATCTAGTGCTATGTACATACATTGAATTTATGTACTTGTGACTCGTGTTTGAATATTCGTCGAAATTTGTCAACACTGTTATTAAAATTATTATCTTAAATTATTTAGACTTTTACGTGTATACTTCTAGCGAGTAGACTTACAGTACTCAGTGACCTGCCTTTCTAAGCCATTAAGAGAATCAATATTAAGGTGGTATAGAGATCTCTTTTATTAAAATTATTCCTCTCTAGTATTCAAAGTAGGTAGCTTCATTGGAAGCCCTCCTACATCATGTAAATTTCAATGTTAAAAAGAAAAATCTTTTATTCATGATAACTTGTTATACTTAATTGTATAATTCATATTTAATTCAAAATATAATATAAAAAAAAAAAATTAAAAAATTAATATTTTACTTATTTACTTATATATTTTTAGTTTTATTTTGTTAATACCTATAAAAATAGACTAAAGCCTTAATATATTATCTAATAACTAATTACAATATATTATTTTCCTTACATTTGGAAAAAATTGTAAAATTAATTAATTTTTTTGGCTAAGTCCTATAGCCTGCCAAATTGTGCTAATGGAAGGAGATTTAAACCCTACAGACTCCCTTATATTTAAAAAAATGTATGTATAAATAATTAAGAATATATATTACTAGGTGGTCTATCATTATAATATGTTATTATTATAACAGGAACATGAGCTGTAGGTAATGAAATGTAAATTATTTTTAAGTTTGTATTGAAAAAAAATTAGTTCCCCCTCCATGACCACAACTCAAATACGCCCTTGGGGTTGCTATTATTTCGAGGACAGTGAGCCGGGCTCTACCCAGTTTGCCCCTGCCGATGTCATAGGTGACCTACATTGCTAAGTGTTTATGGGTAGTATCATAACTACTTATCTTTAGTTAAATACTTGCAAATATATATATATTTAGACTATGAACATACAGTATTGAAAATATTTATTTTCACCGTTCTGCAGGTTAATTTCCTTAAATATCCAGCGATTAGTAATACTTAATAAGTTGAACAAAAAATATCCGCATTTTACCCACCCAAAAAATTTTCTATGTATATAGCTTACCTGTTGAAATGTGATCAGTCCTACGATATAGGGTGAGATGCTGATGCAGCAAAACACAATTGTTCCGTTTATACCTTGCAATACGCCTGCGTGATTGGGTGCTAGATCCACGATGCCGGGAAGAGCTCCGGAAGAAATTGCACCACTTACGACTACGGCGGATACCAAATTGAAAATGGCGAATGTCTCGTTATTGCCGGAAAACGAAAACAACAGCATGAACAGGCCGTGAATGATGTTGCTGAAAACGCATGCCATTTTCCGAACGTTCGTGATGGACATGATTTTGATTTTGATCAGGTAATCGCAACCACATCCGAAAACGAATGAAAACGGCCACAGTAACAGATGCGGTATGCCCGACCAAATCCCCGTCTATACATTACGGAAACAGGAAAAAATTTTCAAATTAATCGTGGTATAAGCGCACAAGTTATGTGGTCGGACATGTTGAAAAAAAATATTTTGCGTTGAACAGGTTATAGGATCGTTTACATAAGCAACACAAACTGTTGTTTAATCGGTCAACTTACACGGACAAAACGCTTCGCTAAATGAAACGCTACTTATGATACGACTTCAAAATGATACGCAAAATTATCGACCGCCAAACAATGCGTGTTGCTCGTGAAAATCATCTCCTATCCCTTTCGCGATACATGCGTAAGTGGTATACAGTTTCATACCTGTTTCAAATTGAAACCCAATACGAATTTGAAATACGTCGGCACTTGCAATGATATCGTGTACATTCCCCAGTTATAACCAATTTGCGATATGATGTTCACTATGAGCGGCACAGACGTGATGATCGATTTCCATGGCGTCGAGGACTGCGGAAAACGTGTACCGATCATTAACAACAATAATAATTATTGGCGCAGTAGGAAACACTGAAAAAACATCCAAGCCGGTGACCGTAACTGTTTTACAGTTCAATAACTGTACGTGCGAGTGTTCGTTTAATTTAACGGTGGACACTTGATAAATAACACATATATTAATACGATTTCGTTATGGTCGCTTACGGATATGTTTTTCACTATGCAGTTGCCGAGGCTGTCTTCGATGTACTTTCGTTCCTTCTCGCTTATGGTCGGGTGCGTGTTCGGCGAATCGTATATGAGATAAGTCCAGCATGCGTGCCACAGCAGACCAATCAGTCCTGTAACGTAAAATATGCTCTCCCAGCCCATCCAATCCATCAGGTAGCCGCACAGTATGTACGTCAGTGCAGTTCCAACGGACGTGCCTATAATATAATAAAATTATGATATTTGCGACACATGAGATGTAACTTTTTAAGGCTTAAGTCTTTCGAAACTCGCAGATTTTGACGGGCAAAAAATGTGCGATTTTATCAAAACATTTACGACACCGTACGACACGCTGTATATGTAATATGTAAATTTAGATATTGAGCATGTCTTAAGCATCTTAAACGAAAGAAAACATTGGCTAGCCGAATTCGGTTAAGGAAATAGAATATTTTTATGTAGGATTAGAATATTATACCCACGTAGACTATTCAACTACGAAATTTACTCTAACACTTCAAACACTAATCACGTCACTTACACAGAAAATGAACCACTAATGTCGTTAATTCGCAATATTTCAAGATCAGTGGTACCACATTAAAACTCGCTTAAAACGCTTTTCAAGGGATCAGATCATTAGAGCGTCTTAAATGGAAAAGCGTCTTATACGAGAATTGAAAAAAAATATTGTGATTCAAATATCGAGTTTATTTTTTTTATTATTGTATATAACTAAACAGGTAAGACATTTATAAACTATAATTATATATATTTATTATTATTAAATTTATTACATAATATGTAAACATATTATATTTATTATTTATTTGTACATTGATACATATGTATTTTTATACTATTATTTTTCTATTCCATTACATATTAAATAAATTATCTATTTTTGTTTGTTTAAGATTCTGAAAGTAGGTTTCAGCAATAAAGTTTTCGATTTTGTTGACATAACCAAACATTTCTTCGTCATTTTTTACAGAGGACAATACTTTTCTAATTTCTGATAGATATTGTAAACCAGAAATAACTGTAGGAGTAGGTATTGAATTGTCTAGCTCTTCTTAATCGTCGCATAATACAACGAAATACGTATCCAATCATTAGGATACTGTATGTAGTATGATAAAATAAAACGATAAATATATGAGTAAAATTTTTATTTTTATTTTCACATAATTACTGAATTTAATCATAATCTATTGAACAACAGAGCTTCTTATCCTATAAGATAGTGAAAAACTGTGCGTCTTAACAAGTAGTTTTCACATGACTAGTACAGGATAGTATTGACTAGTATAGGAAATGTCCAGGGACCGACGGAAAACAGCGTTTTAAGCGAGTCTTACTGTATTAATATCTAGAGTACTTTTCCACTTATAATTTTATATTATTCGTAAACATTTTTACTGTATAAATTGCATACATCTAATGATTTATTCTTCAATGTGACTTCCCAAAAATAATCAAATCCTTGATTATGGCATTTAAAATTTAAGAATAATACTAAAACGTTTGCTAATGTTTAAATTTTGTTATTTCGATTGACTTGCCACTTGCTTTCTATTTTAATACATTTTGTATTATGCTAATAATAGCAGACAACCGGTGACGTGATTTAATTTGATTTGCGGAAAATAATTAATTTTATCATCTTACACCGTGTCCTCCCACACCACTACCTACGCAACTATATACACCTATTGCAAACGCTGAAACACATTACAGTGATGAAGATTACTTATCCTGAACTCGTCGAACTCAGATGACTACGCAATTACCTACACAATTATAATGTATATCGTTTTCGATAAGTAATGTAGCGTACATTTATTTTACGAAGTTTGATATCAAATATCCACGTGGGTGAAATTAATAAATATCATATTTGGTATTATAAATAATATAAGAGATAATCAAAAGCGTAGGTTTCTAAAAGGGAGTAGTAACAAATTATAATCAAATTTTAATTTTCGATATTTATAATTTTCTAATTTTAAATTTAAAAATAAATAGGTAATTTCATATTTTTAATACCCATTATATTATGAGGCACAAAAGAAAACATATTATTATAGTTTACTGATTTTCCATACTTGAAAAAAAAATTACGAGGCTAGAATTTGAATACACTAAACATTATTAAAGACAGTGCTTGACTTGACAAAATTAAAGAAGGGGGATTCCATTTGCTTAAAAAAAATTGCGTTCCCAAAACGCGTTATAATTATAACGTAATAATAGTAGGGAAGACACTAACATTTCTAAAAATTAGAAGTGGTACTCCACCCTTCTGCGTCCCTCCACAAGTCGAGCACTGATTAAAGATATATCATTATGTTTTGTTTTTATTTTTATTTTAATATAAAATAAAAGGGTTAGACATTTAAAATTACTCTTAAAAGCCAGCATTTGTTTCATATCTGAAAAATAATGTAATAATATACAAGCAACAAATCGTATGTTTTTGTTCAGTAAAAAATAATAAAATTAAAATCGAAAAGCTAGACTTTGGATAGTTTTAAATAAAGGTCGATGATGATAACCTAAATATAAATGGTCTAAAACGGCTAAGGTTTATAATGTTCCCGAAGAATGAAAATATTTCGTGATTATAGAACAGTGCGTAATTAAACCACATTTTATGATTAAGCACTACGACGAACACTATAAAAAACTTATTTAGGTACATTTATTGAAATCCTAGGTCGAACGGTCAGAATATTAAAATATCAAAAGAGAACGAAATTAGTGGACTATTCATAGAATATTATTTTATGCGTTGTGCGCACCCATTCACGTTTAGCAAAAGAAAAAATTCGGTCCATACGGGATGACTAATGGGAATCAGAGGGACGGGGAGAGGTTAGTGTAATAGATCGTTATTAATGCCAAACGAATTACAATAATACATATTTACTGTGCACACGTCTGTGTAAAAAATGATCGCCACCTGTGCACTGTGCGCAGCCATAGATTTGACCCACGCGGTGCAGGTAAACGATTGTGTGAAACCCGTTGACACGATTCACTCGGGCCGAGATGTTTGGCTCTACGACCTGTGCGATGAACGGACAGTTGTACAGAGTGCGACCGAGCTACAGTGTGATTGACGCGTGTACGCAATACGTTCCATCGCAACTCGCACACGAACCTAAATGACCGATCCGACCAACGTTGGTGGGAGATTTTACGGGACCCGGGGCAGATTTTGTTATGGGGCCCTAGAAATTTTTTTCGTGAAACCAAAATATATTTCATTAATCGCTCTAGTACTCGTAGGCCATATTTTTCTTATATACATAAGTTATGTAAAAATGGATGTTATATCTTATCGTCAAAGCGTCAACAATATACTATCATTTATTAATTTATTATTATTATACTAATTGCACTACAATAAAGGTACCTACTAAACATAATATTGAATTTAGGGATTAAAATACCATGTACATTTTCATGTGCCAGGAGGGACTTGTTATTTGATTTTAAAAACGATATTACATGGTAGGCTTACAAATTGTTAAATTCCATGTAAGGCGCGGGCCCCTGGGCAGCTGCCCCTTCTGCCCTTCCACCGGCACTGGATCCGACGCGTTCTTGTACCTCTACAGCCGACCGCGCGAATTCATCATCGTTTACCCCGCCCGTCTAAACCCTATAACTCATCCATGATACATCACACGGTGCGCGCGCGTCATTGCCGCACGAGCAAAAACAACAGTGTCCATAATACGCAACTTTCGTTTCATGCAATCATACCGTAGCGATCGAATCCGTGGATATATCGTGGAGATTATTTTCAGACATTTATTAGGAAAGCGTTCGCACTAATGCTACAATTGGTTAAGAAAAGGTTTATAAACGACTATTGAATAGGAATTTAACTCAAATTAATTAATTAATTGATTTTAATTACAATACATTACTTTAGTGATGGCAATATTTGTAATCAACGCAATTGTAAATCTACCAAAGAAGTGACAAGAATTAGTTATCAGGGTATTATGTAGGATAAAAATTTAAAGTGGAACTTAGATGTTCATAACTTCGTTGGAAAATTACGTGGTGTAACTTATATATTTATATTAAACAATCAACACGTAGGTATAGTATACTTTGTTTTATATCAGTCAATTCTTCAATTTGAACTATCAGTGTGGAGTGGTTTGAATGTTAGTGTACTAAAAAACTTCAAGCCAATCAAAATAATATTTTTAGAATCTGTTTGAATAAAAGTACTCTATTGAAGGATCGACAAATCAAAACGACAAAAATCTGAGTGTATTACCAATTAAATACCTTTATAAAAAAACTGGTAATAAAAGTAATTCACTTGTGAATAAAGAGAGCATTTATTGTATATTATTTCAATGAATATGGAAACAAATTTTTTGGTCAATCATATTTAGACCCTACGTATTTCAATTTAATTCCTATTCAGAATAAAAAAAACATACATAGTATTCAAAGAAACATTAAAAATATTATACTTATATATAAATAGTTATTTTTAGATTTGAGCTAAAACTTTTTAGTTTCATATTGGTAATATATTTAAGTTCTATATAGTTAATATCAGTTTTAATTATATTTATAATAAACTATATCTTTAATATACCTTATATTTTCTAAATCTATTTTAATGTATCTGTAATTGTTCTTAATAATTTGTTGTAAATTAATTAAAAACGTATTAGTCTCCGTTTATAGCTCAAGCATTGCTTAAAAAAGACAGATAATCATAAAAATTATTTACAAACGATGTACTATCTATTGATGATTTAAGGGCAAATAAATCGTATGTTAACGTAACCTGACTAAACATGTTATGTTATTTTTCGGTGTTCTTACACTTAGTATTATATACAATATTGTCGATGATTCGCGCGTTCGAATATGACTGTGGATGTGGACGAGTGCACGTCGTCACGAATTGTGAAAAAACTGCAGCGTGTTACGCGGTGTGCCGACGCACGTGTCCGAGTTTTTCCCGAGCGCCCGATTCAGCGTGGACATCTGCATCACAATATTGCAGTGGCTCCGAACACGTACTCGAGGCGGTGCATCTGCACCATCATAAGATTTCCTGATGGGCACCGGGTCCGTACGTTTTTGAAAAACTTGCACTCGGTCGGTAGTATGGATAGTAGGTATCTCATTGAATATTTTTCAATATTATTCATCGAATATGAACACGGTGTCTAGGCAGAGATAGTTAGGTTAATGCGTGTTTGCACCACCAACTAAAATGTGGATGGATGCCCGCCACTGCAATGCTGTGGTTCATTTTTCAATAAATCCTAATCGTACGACGCACGTTTTCCTTCCAGCGGAAAGTGGAATGCAGATCGCGGGTATTGAAATTATTCGGTACCCACGACTATTGCATGTGGTGCCGTAGCAACCAATAATATTGCGCCCTTATGTATTTTCAGTTAAAAAAAAAAAATTATAATTGTTAGGTATTGTTTTTAACGTGTGCTTCGATTGATGTAAACGACGTTAAAGTTGTTGCAAATAAAATACTAGTATATAACATCGATTGTTGTAATTTTTAACATAGAACGCAAATTTTCCATTTTCGTCCCTTCCCAAGAATCCCGCCCGGGGCGCAGGAACTTCCCGCCGCTTCCCCTCTCCCAACTAGCTTTTGTCCGGATCACGTGTGATCTGGGCGCATTGGATACGTACCGAAATATGCTGACACGAAACGGCTGCGCTCGTGCGGCGGAATCCATTTTCCCGTCATCGCCTGCATCGACGGCCACGCTACCCCGGCGATGAGCCCTTGGACGATTCGCAGAAGTAGCAGTGCCTCAAAGTTCAATTTCGCCATGAACGGGATGGCGCAGGTGAGAAGCGCGACCAAACCGTTGCTGAAGCCGAATATGGATTTGGCACCGAACTTTTGAGCCAGCAAGCCACCGGGAATTTGTAGTACCATGTGCAACCAGAAGAACGCTCCTTTGACTGTGTTTTGCTGCCGTTCGTCCCAGTCGAAAACATTTTCCTACAATCGAACAAATCATTTGTAGCGTCAGTTAACACATTGCGCAAGTCGATCGATACAAACGCAGCGTGACACATTTCATCCGATCGCGATCCGATCCCGGTCAAAGATAAAAGCTTATTTGATTCATATTTTAATTTTTATGCGGTTCACACGGTTGCGATATGAAGTATTAATTGCGAATTTCTATGAAAAATTTAATCATTCGTAATGTTATAACTTATAAAACTACTTTAAACTATTAAACATTTTCTATTACTAATGATTTATAAGTAATAGTAAATTTTCAATAGTTTTTTTTTAATTTTTAAAATATTTATTAGAGTTTCTTTCTTTTTTTACTAACACTGAACTAGTATTCTGAAAGTATTAGAAAACTTACTTAACATTACGTTATCATAGAGCTCATAATATAATCAACTGTTAAAAATATATTACAAAATTAAACAGAGTAAAAAAATGTATATAAAAAAATTTATTTTTACTTATTCTGTATAATAGTGTCGAAAGTTTGATTTACGATGGTTAAATATATCAAATTGTATTTGAATTAAAAGAAAGTTAAGCTTTTCCGTTAAAATACAAGGTATTTATTTTAAGGATTTAAGATATTTTTTGATATAGTAATAATTTTCAAAAACATTTTAGTGTATACCGTGGGTTCAATGACATTTTTAAAAGGGATCACGAGGAATGATATCTTCTCTCAAGTTCAGATTAATCTATGTATACTATTAATACGTATAAATTATATGATACACGCAATGTATATTATATGATGTATGTTAATAAATATTGGCATAGTTAAAATAAAAATGTTATCTAAAGCGCTTGTTAATAAAATCGAATATTCTTATATAATGGTTTATTGTTTTAAATTTAAAAACAGCAATGCGACGCAACAGAGCTTTTACTAGAATGTGAAAAAACGAGACAAATCAATAATTTTGTAAATATTTGTTTCTCTCGTACATAATGTTTTTCGTCTCCACTTTGTTGAGCGCCTAGGCTTGGTTACGGAAGAAAGAAAACATTTAGATAACTTCGCGTCTCTCTGAATACTTATTTTATTAAATAATTCATTCCCGAAATTGTCAAAAGATTAATGCTTGTGTATATTTTATTTTAAAAATGCATATGTATGCGTAAATAGATTATGATCGCCCTACATCGCCGCAGGTTATAAAAATGTTCGTGCTAACAGTGAGAAACCGCGCTTTTATAATTCAATATAAAAATTTTTCATTTACCAACGAAACGTTTAAATTGTAGTAAACAAATAAAGATTTTATTCCTTCAAAAACGCATTAAATGCAACTAATATAATGATACCAACTTTTAATAATTAATTTTCAAAGCACCGGATAAAAACGACGGGACACGTAATTAATTTTTAACAAATAGTTCTCACCTGGTTTAATATGTTATTGAATGATGATGATGCATTCGGTGAACTGTGGTGTTCGTAAGATTCATTTTGTAACTCGTAATACTTAAGTTTTGTGGTTTGTCGGACCATCGATACTATTGCTATATTGAGATTCATTCGAAGCATGAAGTTCATTGCAAAACCCCAAAAGGTCATGTACCATAATATTGTTCGTTCTGAAATCGCACAGCAAACAATAATATGCTACGTACATAATCACGCGTTCATAACAAATAATTAATTTATCGATCGACCGTAAGGAATAAGTCTTTGGTAAAGTATGAACGTCTGCGACGGACGGTTACAAACTGTTATTGACGCGGACGGTTAGACTGAAATGTATTTATGATTAAATATATATATATATATTTTAACACTTAAAATTAATTAGACTTAGTCCTTATATCGAATCGTATAAACGACGATTATTTTTGACATTTTACCGACTCTGCATTTTTCAACCTCCAATGTATTGTCTCCTCGTGTCTTCGATCACAAAGTACGTACCCGTAAGCAGGTACAACTTGCCACTATATTGTAATATTATGTAGAGGAATAAAACTGTTGTTGATAGGTTACGTACTGCAAATATGATAATAAATGCAATCTTAAAATTTATGACTTGATTATGCGTGCAATATTTAAAGAGCAGAAATAAGCTAAAACATCTGCATATCATTAATCTTAACTTTTAAATGTATATAACGTATTAATCCTCGGAAATCCATCAGTTCTCAACAAGGATTTATTAACTAATGCCAATAATGGTTGCGATATAAAAAATAAATACTTATTTTATACGTATATTTACATCCCAAAATCAGCAACTTCGTTTCGAACCGATTTCATCGTACTATCAGCGTGATTTCGTGCGCATGCCACTTTGAAGTTTCTAAGCACGTCCGTGCGTTGATCTTACTGCGCGTCCGTACTTAACGTTACACAATAACGTGTTTCAGAAGCAATGACGACAGTTATCATTTCACCAATTGTTGTTGAATAGTATAAAGAGAATATTAAACCGGTACAAAGAGTGTGTACAACAATTGAATTATAACACCCGCAGCCATATATATACAGTTGATAAAATATTATTATTATTGTGAGTGACCTATGGTATAGCTATTGTGCGTTAGTGTTATATTGGCAACGATTTGATAGCGAGAATGTTAGTGATTTTTATCAAGGTGATACACATGATAATAATAAATAGTAATACAATAGCGTAAATATGTTAAATTGTAAATGCTGTAGGATTGCCAACAATTGATTTTTTTTGTTTTCCGCTTTTAACGAAAAATCTTGTCGACACTATAGTAGCTCAATACGCTTTGTTGGTATACATAATACAACATATCGTATTCTTTCGGGCTTGTAGTTTAGCTAGTGTTGACGAAGAGATTTCCAATAAGCAATAACATTAACAATTCACCGACTATCGATTTTAGATTTTGTGCTACAATGATGTTAAGAAGTAAAATCACCTGTCAAATGTTGATATAATTATTTGTTGTGTAACAATAAAATTGCGTCCCTATAAATAATGTTTAAAGCTTCTACTTGATTATTTGATTTTGTTTCAGAACTTTTTAAATTTGAACTACGTTAATGAATAAAAATATAGTCCAAACGGATTTTGACCGAATTCGAACAACGAACATCTTGCAGCATATTCTATGGAAATGTACATATTCGACTTTTTTTCTCGCAAAATCATCGGGACTTACAGAGTTAGTGAACACATCACGGCTGCCCGTGTTTAATATAGTGCACAATAATGCGTAACTTATCTGAAATTCCACTCCATTATCGGCTATCAGATATCGTATATTTATTGCTTTTACCTTACCTAATAAATTACTTACAGTTTTATTTATTAATGCATTCAGTATTTTCGTAACTCTTTAGCAATCCAAACACGTTGCTTTGTTGTAACACCGAGTAAATAGCATGTATGAGAATCAAAAACATTGTCTCAATCTGAAAACCACAAAATTATATTGCTGAGTACGAAAAAATTTAAAAATACACTTCAAGAGTTTATAATTTAAATAGCTTTTTCACTGAATACCTGAATGTAACGCTCGTGACTTGATGTAACTTAAAGGGCATTTTACACGGAAAAAGGTAATTAAAAACTATTAATACCTCGTGATATATATTTAAAATTTTCATATAACACTTGAAGCACATTTTTTGTGCAATTTTTCCGCTATTGTTTGGTTACATGTACATGAACAGAAATTTCATATTTTTCGTTTTTAAGTTTTTGGGAAAATCTCGTCCAACCGATTCGCTCGTATGATTTTTAATCTATCATCAAACACCAGGTACTACAAAATTATTTGAAAAAAAAAACAAAATCATGTTTCTCAGTAATTCATTTATTTGGTCTACTTTTATCTTTAAGATTTTAAAACATAAATTGTACCTATACGAAAATACTTAAATAAAATGTATATACATAGTATACAACTAAAATAGGGTACAAAAAGGTTTAAAATTTTAATTTTAAATGTTGAACCACGAAGAAATAAATTGTTTTCGTGTTCGATTTAACCGGACCATTCATTGATTTTTTGGTGCAGTTAGAATAATGATTCATTTTTTCGCTTTTTGTAATCTATTTATTTAAAATTGTACAGTTTACCCTAATATTAGCAAAGCATTTTCTGTAATTGAATCAACTGCAGTTGAATTTCTTAGTAAACGATAATTGAGTGTCAATAAAATTATAGAACTCTGAACATTATCTGAATGCTCTTATACTAATAGTGCTGGTGTGAAAATCGCTTCGATCAAGTATGAATTTTTCATACCTGATATTTTTTCTGGAAGATTTCTGTTGAATAAGAACGAAATAAATTGTACGTAGAAAACGATGAACCCATTTGCAATGTTACAATATTATAATTGTTATACTCGTACATGTACGGTATGTCACAATATTATGGATAAGCGTTTAATTTTTTCCAAGTAGTGTATTGTTATACCTCAGATATTATAAGCCAGGGACTACCCTAACACTCGGTCACGCGAATACTTTAAAAAAGTTGTATTTACACTGCATGCGTCAGAGAAAAGATTATACGAAATTATTACATTTTATATCGTGACTTTTTTGCAAAAATGTTAGTTTTATCGATCTAAGCAGCACATTTAATTGGTATTTCGTGTAATATACGTAATAAGATATTATCTAATTTTTATTATATTATAAATTTCTAAAACAATATGAGTAATAAAATATAACTAATATTGATATGTTTCGAAAATATCTGTACGCCATATGAAACGTGTTCGCATACATAAGTACCTATGCCTTAAAAGTTATCGAAAACACTCGTAAAGATAACTATACTGCAAATGTTACAATCTTTGATTGGGTACGGAGATAATATATTTATAAATTAAGTATTTAGAGTCTTGAAACACCGTTAACGAGGCTGAATCAAGGGCGATAAGGGGCACTGTAACCCCTGGTAGCGAGTTGAAAGGGGCTAAAATGTGTTTTATAATCGTTGGCCAGCAAATATAAAGTATTGTTTTAAAAATTATTTGTAACTATACTGCAATATATAAATATAGTATACATATTTATAAATTACGAAATATGAATAAAAAAACTAAATTGTTTTGGGTGAAAGGATCTCACCATAAGTAACAGCTCCTATTATATTATGACCATAATCCGATCTTGGCAGTTAGCCACATACGAACAACAGTTAGTACATTTTTAATTTAAATATATTTTTATTTTTCAATAATTTTCTAAGGTTTATTTAATCAAAAATATATTATGCTGGGTGAGCTTGCAGGATGCGCTCGTTACAAAGTATATAAACTTAACGTAGTTTTATACGATTAACAAACGTAACCGTGCCGTGCTCGTTCCGGGATTCTACCGTCTATAATTTCTGTTCACAATGGTTAGTGGTTCACCCGTTGTTGAGTATTGTACATTATATCTGCTAAGATGACTTTGTTTTCAGACAATGATCTTTTGATGATTGCTTTGATTTTGGACAAAGATGAGGAAGAAGATGTAGTAAAAAAAAAGCGTTTATGGGTTCATCAGGCATTAAAGAAGAGGTCAACAGAAGGGGAATTTTATACTCTATATAAGGATTTGATGGATGATGGAACAAAGTTTTTTGAACACTTTAGAATGTCGGAAAATTCATTCAACATAAAAAAACAAGACACATACTGGAGAAAAGCTATTGCACCAAGAGAACGGCTTGCAGTTTGTTTGAGGTTACAAATACAAATAAAATTACAAATATAAATATTATTTAATATAATACACACTGATTTATTTTTAACACACAAAAAAAGAATATAAAGTTTTTGACATTAATATTTTTGAAAATATGCAATAAAGTCTTGGTTTTAATCACTTAATGAATTAGTGAAAGAAGAAGTTATTGAAGTAGGAGAATCATTTGATGAAGAAAGGTCTGCAGGGCAGTGTTGTTCAGAGTATAATGAAGTACAATACGTTGAAATAGGAGATGGCTGCGCAAATTGTTCCTAGTCCATAATAATTTTCAACTCATAGTTTTGAACGGCAGCAAATATATCGGACTTGGCGTAATGCCAGTAGCGTGGGGTTAATTTTTTCAAAGCTGGAGCTATTCCTGCTAAAAAAGCGTCAACAGGATGTTGTGGTTCCAATGGTAGCTTACTTTCATTTTTTTTTACGAGGTACTGCATAACAGTAGCAGCGGCTGTCTTTGAAGGAGGAACGTCTGGTACCGAGTGTTGTGGTTTCTTCCTTGGAGTAGAAAATTGAGAAGAACCTGATGATTTTGAACTCGACAAAAGACGACATTTTTGTGACTCTACAATCACAGGATTATCAACTTCATCTGTTGTATAGTTTTGAGAGTATTCTTCATTTTTGTTAGGTTCTGATTTATTAACATCATCATCAACATTATTATTTTCATTTAAGACTTTGTCATCAATGTTTGACATTGTGTCCCTCTCATCAAAGAATTTTATCATAAAACTTAACTGCTGTGCATATTTGTACTGCTTTATTATTTTCGCCTTTTGACCACTCACAGTTTTATTTTTCTTCATAGATTTTCTGAAGTTGTCTCTTATATTTCCCCACCTAGTTTTTGCCGAAGGCCCTGAAATTATATTCGTACAATTTATTCACATAACATATAATATTATGTACTTTATATATATTCTTAAAGCATATTACAAAATTTAAAATGATAACTACTGCTAAAAAAAAAAAAAACTCATTATCCCACTGTGATTTTTTTTAAATATGTAATGAAATAGTATTGTACTCAAAAAGTGATTTTAAGAAACTTAATCAAGCATTTTAGATCTTAAAACCAAAAAATTAAAAATTGTATGGAATAAAACAAGTATAAAAATCTGAAATTTTACATAAAATAGTTTATTTAAAATACATATAAAAAATTTTATCGAGTACAGTATATAAATTGGACTGTAATTAGCAGGGCTAGGATTTGTATGCAATAAAAAATTGTAAAATATGCATTTTATTTACCAAAATATACAAAATGCATCAGTGGTTGGCTGTTTGTCTTAATATATTATAATTGAGAAATAAAATAAAATAAAATAATTTAAAATAAAATTTATGTTTGACAAGAAAACCAAGTTTTATACTTTAATTATTCTAGCAGGGCTAGAATTAAATACGAAATATGAATATTAAATTATAAACAGAGGCAGATTTCCCATTATGCACTGTAGGCAGCTGCCTAGGGAGGCAACATTTGGGGGCGGCTAATTTTGTTATGTTTTATTAAAAAATATCAAACGTATGGAAAAAAATTGGTAAATTAATTACTTTAAATATACGAAAAATAATTGTATAATAATACATGCATTTTGTTAATATGTTATCGTCGAAATTCCTGGAAAATATAAATACACTCACTGCCACACTATATTACTATTTCGACTGTATATTAATAATCCTATGCTGTTATTATGAAAATCTGTTTTAGTTAAAATTTAGTGGACATCCATTGACATTATTTCAAAGTAGACTAATTAATAAAAGCGAAAAAAATAGTCTAAAAATTCAAATGGATGTAGATACATACTTTTATATATTTAATATTTAGATTAGGTATTTTGGAAGGGGTGATATAACTTCTTCACCTATTATAGAGGTGGCATATTGTTGGTGCCTATAGCCATAAAAAAGATAAATTCGCCTCTGATTATAAATATTAATTACGAAATATACTATAAAACATTAATTTTTCATATTCTTATATTCGAAATATGCAATAATATTAATTTTATTCAATTTATACAATAATATGCATTTTGTCCAAAATATGCAATAACATGCAAAATAAAAATATCATAATTTATGTTATCACGAGGTGGTTCGTGGACATTACTGACAAAATCAATAAATCAATATCAGAAGTCGCAAAAAAACAGGCTGTTGCATCCTAGCCCTGGTAATTAGAGAAATATGTGGCAAATATTTTTTTTAGTGCTTTTAAAAAATCATACGTGTTAGATAATATTTAATTTTGCAACTTTTTACCAGAAAATTAATATTAAAAACAATTATATTCATACGAAAAAAAACATAAAAAAACAAATTTGTAAAACCAATCCAGTAGAAAATAATTCTTTTGAGTGAAAATAAATTGAAATGTTTTAAGAATATTAATGTTTTCCAATATTTTGATTGTTCATTTCTAATGTAATTTTTTATAGATATTTGGCCACGGGTGATTCGCTTAAAACAATTTCGTTTAGCTATCGCATGGGGGCATGGTACAGTTTACAAGATCGTTCGAGAAACCTGTCAAATAATTTCTGAAAATCTTATGGATGATTTGATGCCAAACACCGACCGAATAAATGTGGAAGAACATTACTAATGATTTTTTTCTTATGTTGAATTTTTCGGAATGTATAGGTGCTCTGGATGGAAAACACGTTACTATTCAAGCCCCTCCAAATACAGGAACAACATTTTTTAATTATAAAAAGGCATTCTCTGTAGTTTTGTTGTCTCTTTTGAATGCTCATTGTAATTGTATTGCTGTTAATGTAGGGGCATACGGCAAGAGTAGTGATGGAGGAGTGTTTGCGAATTCAAATTTAGGCAAAGTACTTTATCGTGGGTCATTGAATATTCCAGGTAATTCTACCATACCCAACACGGATACACAAGTCCCATATCTTATTGTAGGTGATGAGACATTTCCTCTAAAACCTTATTTGATGCGACCTTATTCCGGGGACAAATTTGATGACCAGAAGTGCAACTTCAATTACCGTTTGAATCGTGCCAGGAGGACATCAGAAAACACATTCAGTATACTTACACAAACATTTAGACTCTACAATAGACGAATTCAGGCATTTCCAAAACATGTAGATTACATAATTTTGACCACTTGTTTACTCCATAATTTCATTAAAAAATACGATTCGTATACTTACAATTACGTAGGTAACTCAACAAGACGATTTTAGAAGTAACGGTAATACACTACAAAATTTAAATTTGCAAGGAGGGAACGCAATGACAGACGCATTTCGTGTTAGAGAAATATTTACAGATTACTTTAATTCGGAGATTGGGTCTTTACCTTGGATATAAAATACTTAAATTTAAGATAATATGAGAAATAAACGGACGATTTAAAAATATTATTCGTATTATTATAAAAATATGTTATAAGTTTATAACCTAAGACCATATGGTATTTTATATTCAGTATTAATAATAATAACAACATAATGAATAATATATTTGATGTATTTCTTATTATACAATACGTATTTCTTACCAGCTGTTTCGATTTTTTCTGCTATTTTACTCCAAATAGTATTCTTGTAATCTGTATCCATATATTTTGCATGAGATAAATCATACAATACAGGATACTTCCGTACTAACTCTATAAGTTTTTTGTCGTTCATTTTTTCAAAAAGTCAGAGTCGATAAAATACAACAAAAATCACGACCGCAAAATATGAAAAATATCGTCGGCAATTAATCGCAAATTCACTGTACGATGACTGTGACAACACTGCATCGGCACGATCACGCACCGAACGAATGAGAACAAAAAAATCTGAAATTATACATTATACCATTAGAAATTCCCAACATAATATTTTTATCTTGTCGGTGGAATCACGGGTCGGTGACGACACTGTCACGGTACTGTCACGTCACTGCTGTATGTAAATATACCTTAACTGTACATTTTACTGAAATAAATATTTAATGTAATCTAACTCAAGAAAATTGTTATGCGGTATGAGCGCTATGATTACAGCTGTATTGTCGCAGATATTATCAATATTATTCAGCTGTGTTTGGAAAGCGCGTTCGTTGCGTTCACGCTCGCGTTTTGTGAACAACACGTGAACGCCATTCATTCCTTTCAAGTAAAACGTATAGTAAATGTAAGCGGTTTTCAGACTGTTTAAATTAAATATATGTTAATCATAATTATTCGTTTTTATAGTTTTCCGTTATTTTCACAATGAATAATTAAGACTATGAGAACAAAAGTAACCAAACCTATTAAATTATTTTCCATCCTTATTATTCAACATTTTGCTGGTGTACTATTTTGATACAATAAAATCTGTAATTATAGTTGTTTACTTATAACCACATTTCTAAAATATAGTATATATTTGTGGAAAAAAATATTGTTGAAAATTCAAATATTAAAAAAATCCATGTAACTCCTGTGTAACATCTAACATAATTGTGGGTTAGTTGAGCTCTCATAGCTTCAATTTATAACAAAATTATAGTTTTAGATGTACGAATACGTATATCGGTGTAGGTTCGGATTTTCGAGTGTTTATGAAATCCTCATTCATAGAAAATTGATTAGATATTCGAAGTTAGGTTAGTTATATATTTCCATAGTACTATCATTTCATGAAATCATATTTCTATTGTTTTTCGAGCCAAAAAAATTCACTACGAGTGCTAATACATATACTTACGTAACTGTATCTAAATAATTTTAAAATTTATATCATTTTTATAAAATAGTTTCTTTATGGTCAATAATTAAGAGAGCAACTTATTTCGCCAAAAAGAATAATCAAGTATACACAAATAAATAAAACATAATTGTAAAATTAATAAGTTCTTATTGCCGTACTACTTTGAATTTAAGATTAACGACCAAGCAAATGCATTAAACGTGAACATAAATGTGCATGCATTTTCAGTAATAAATTTTTACTTGAATCATATAATTATATAAATACCCAATATTTAATCAACATTTTAAATCCTGATAAAATAAAATAATTTAATTGTCTTTATCTCATCTTTTTTTTATCAAATAATATCATTGTAAATATTTTTAAATAAATAATTGTGATCATAGGTTCATAATTCTTAAAGACCGGTAAGGTAGGATCGTGGAGTTCAGTTTTTTTTTCAACGTTATATTTATTTTACACTGTTCGGACCGATCTGTAAGACTGGCCTTTTGAAGGTGATGTTATATTTACCAAAAAAATTAAGAAATTGGGCAAAACTGTGCTCCGTGTTATGTTAATTTTAGGTTTTCTTTATTTTATAATATCTACAGTGTTGGAGTTTTTTCCTCGGTATATATTTGCGATACTAATGAATTTGTTTCTAATATTTGTAACTTCAAGGAATATCTGTTGCGTAATATTTATTTTTAATGTTATAAATACACGAATAAAATTTAAATTTTCGGAAGAAAATTAAAAAAATAATGAAAAAACTCTTTTCGGTCTGTAAGGGATAATACTTCATCATTTTTTTTTTTTTTTTATAGTGTAATACAAAAATATAAAAATATCTTTCAAAATTATCCAAACATTTTAAACAAAATAATAGTTGACATAAAGTAATAAACGGGCACAGTACTAACAAATAATTTTTTCTATTGTGGATAAACAATATAGTTAGATAATATATATATAATTTTTGTTTTCGTGAATCTAAGCTATGACATTTTCAAAATAGAACTAACATTAGTCGGAGAGTGAAAGAAAAATGATCAAAACTTTATAAAAGAGTTCTAGTATTTGTTTGGACTTTATTATTAAGTATATAAATAAATATAGGTATGTATATTAAGTGTACACTATGCACTTGAAAATCATATAAGCTCTTCAGTTAAATAATGTAAAACACTATAGATTAAAGATGAACAACACGATCGATAATCCATCTTTAATTAAATTTAAAAAATGCAGTAAATAATATCTACATTGAAGTGATGTAATAATTACGTAATTTGAACTTAACCCGTCCCGTCATTCTCTGGTAAGAAACCGGATGCCGCAGTACCGAAAAGTAAAAAAAAAAAAACGTCTTTTAAGTACAGGTATAATTCGTAACGGTCAACGGTCGTTTGTCTCGGGTACATATTTTAAGATATGTACGTCGAGTGGCGGTGCCAATCCGATCACTCCAAGTTTAAAATAACCATATGGTTGACAGTCCGCCAATTTTAAATAATATATCAACTTATTTGTGTCGCTTTATCGCCTACATATCAGTGTATAGACTGGAATAACACGCGCATTGAACCCGCAATAATAACCCAATAATAACGGCGTTTACTCTGATGGTACACGGAACGAAACGACTCCCTCGAGTGCGTGATAAATTTCCGGTAAAATTAGATCGTATCCGTAAACATTTCTTTTTCAACGAAAATTCATGAAAAAAATGTAAAAAAAAATTTAAAATTTTCAATATAAATACTGTATAGAACTTTACAAAGTGTTAAGACCTAAACATTTCTACGTTCTATCAATAATATTTTACAACCCGAATGTCTCGTATTAATTATAACACAAATGTACGCATTCACAAATATATACCTACTTAACACAATCTGATGTACGTCACAAATGTTTAACTTTAAAGATTCTCGTCCTATTACTTTAGAATTATTTTTTACTAACGTTCAACTCACCAATTTTCAGAAAATGCAATTAACGAACATTAGGTTCATCACTACGCGTTCGATTTTAAAAGCCATCATACAATTGTAGGTACAATCAAAATAGGTCTTTCGACTTGGCTAATTAGGCTTTAAGAAAGCTAATGCATTTTTGGCTTCGATAACATAAATGTGGTTTTTATTTCACATCTTGGAGATGTACTCGTATGTTATAGTATATAAATTATAATAAATTACCTATATTACACAAATATATTATTGCTTACACGTGGTCATGAACGTTTCGGTCGTATGCACGTGTTTGTAACCATTTTTTTTATAATATATCTTTCTCTACGATTGCAACGAGAATCATCTATAAAATAGTTTTTAATAATATTTAATCCTACGACATGAAGTATTTTGGCATCACGACGAGCTAATGAATTTGATAAGATATAATTCTAACAATACACCGGGCAAATGTCGTGCAAACATTTCTGGTGATCAAATAAAATTACACAACTATCAACATAATGATATCTAATCAGTCGTAACAAAAATATTAAAAAAAACTTGAAAAGTCCCAAGTGACACAATACTATCACTTGACTAACTCGTTAAGCTTACTTAACGATTGAAAAATAAAAAGTAAACCAATCGTCACAACAAATCGCTACTATTTCTTATTAACTGCTGACGATGTTAGATAATATTCGTACAAATTAATAAAATATACATCAGTTTACAATATTATTCTAATAATTATATTATTAAAAAATATTTTGTTTCCCGTAAACTGTAGAAGACTTTACAATGCAATTAGATTATGAGATAATTATTTCGATGTACTAACTAAAAGTATTTTCAAATATTACTGGCACAAAAAAGTTGCAATGAAAAAAACTTTAGCCATAAGAACCATAACAACCCAACAGTTACAGAATAAGGTTATTAAAAAATTCAATGATATTTATATTAATAACTTATTAATATGAATATCATTGAATTTTTCGAATTGTTAAATCGTACGGTTTCTTTTGGTGCCTTTGCATAAACACTACTCTGTTCCAAAGTAACACGCTATTTCACATGGGCTCAAGCAAAAAAATTGTTGGGTATACAATTCAGTGTTGAATTTGGCGTGGTTGTATGCGATACGCGTATGTCGCAAGGTTGTCACCCTGCTGTTCCACTGCCGAAAATTAAGCGAGCGAACTCTGTACTCCCGGGGAGGAGACAGTCTTCGACACAGGCCGCCATTGTTTTTTTTTTGGTTCGTTCGTTTTTTTCGGCCGTCTAGGCAACTGGTCATGAGAATCGCATGCCTTTTTTTATCGTCGCGAACCGGTGCGCCGTCGCCATTAACATACCATTCATACGTTTATGTACACCTGAGTCTCGCTGCTCCTAAACGCTCGCTCGTTTGTACACGCAGTGCGGTTGTACCGTGTTTCCCACGTGTTTGTCCGTCGTTTTCGCCCATCGAATCCGTCGGCTCCTTCGTTGGACGTCGCGTTTACGCCGCGTCGCCACCGAAGTATTGGTGCGTTCTCTTTTTCGACCATATCATTGTGACCGTTTCTCGTCAGCTCGCCTAGCTGCGCAGTACGAGCCAGTCAACCACGTGACAGCGGGCGTCCATACGCGTCGGTCCGCACCATTACGCGACCGCAATCGCCTTTCGAATCCCAACTTCGATATCAAAATCTTCAACCTTGCCGTTTCATTACACGGTAAATCCACGGGGTGTTGATTCGTCGCCGAAGTCGCCCTAGTCGACCTTTTAGTGAATCGTCACAATCCGGTTCAACCCCCCCGTTCGCGGATTGTCGTTCCGGGTCAATCATACCAGCCCGGTCTTATCATCTTTTATCAACCCGGTATCAGGTCGTACACAGTAAACAGTTTATTGTTTATTTTGCTCGCAACACGCGAAACATTATTATTATTATCATGTACTAACTAACTCTAGCTGTTAAATCCTAATTATTGCAGAACCTTATAATAAATAGTCTGTACCTTTTATTTCATCAAACCTTGTTGTCAATAGTACCTCATCCTAACGCATAAATTCAAATACCTGAATCTATCCTAATTATACAGTTCTCTCTCTCTCCTTCCTACAAAGTCACTAACAGGTACGACGTAAGTAATCACACGCCTGATGCGTATCGCCTACACCGCCTTCAGTGCGGATACACATACACGCACATACGCGTTATCCGGCTAATTTTGCAGCCGCATCGCACAAAAATGAATGCCACGCAAGCAAGAAATACCAGTTGATGCATGCCCAGATTTATTCAAATCAAATACTTTTGGCCGAGTATACACAGTCAATCTAAGGCAGACTGAGTACTTCTATCTGCGACTGTTATTGGTTGATTTTACCGGTTTGTTTGTGTTGGCGAAAGATGGGATATTGTACACTCTGTTGCATTAAGGGATTGATATTGTTTTTTACTAATATTGTCATAATTAGCGATATATATAATTTTAATGGATCAATTTTAATGAATTATTAAAAAAATACAAGTGTTGATGTTTTTTTATTTTTTATATTTTGTCACCATTCACAGCACTACATACCTCTCTCACTTATATACCACAATGTAGGCATGTAAGGATGTGGTATTACCACATCCTTATATGCCTATATTAAACTAGTTATTTTTTTCTAGCGAAATATTCTCTAGAAATAATTTATATGACAAAACAACGTTTGTCGGGTTAGCTAGTATATATATAAATGTAAATATAATAAAAATACAATTTGTTTAAATATAATTTAAAAAGATATTTTAAATGTTTTTAAATCTATTGATCAGAAAGATAATTGTGTTTGGTAATTCAAAACAAATTTTTTTACGTTTGGTTCAAAGTTTGTGAGATAAAGGCGTAAGTCTACTTTTTTAACGATGAGGAGTCAATTTCTTTTTTTCGTTATTAGAACCGTCACCACACTGAATCCTCGCTTAACGAGGTAAAAAGAAGAGAAGGCAATAAATAATTTTTCAACGCACTGCCTCTGGTATATGGTATTTATATTTCATTCATAATCACGAATTTATTTTAGATATCGATATACGGGAAACAATTACAGATAAATCTTGGTGTATTGCTTTGAACGGAAATAAAAAGTTCACCATCTTTGTCCATTATAGACAAATACCTTTTTCAAAAGTGTTTCAAAATACGTATTTGAGTACCTAAAAAGTATTTGAATACTTTAACTCAAGTACTGTACAAGACTGCATGTTACAATATTTCAATAACACAACATGCAAATCTGTATAGTTTAATACTTTTTAATAATTTAGAGAAGACCAAATCCTTGTCCGAACAATTATAATTTTTTAAATAATATACATTTATTATAGATAAATAACATCAAACTTGATATGGAAATCTAAAATAAAATTTATAAGTACAATATTAGTTATATGTTGGAACATTTAAGTAATACAATATACAAAACTATATTGTTTCATACCTTTTTATAATATTAATAAAAAAAAAAAATCCTTTTATGAACAGTTACATTTTTTTAAATAATTAATAACAATTAGGAACATTTTTTTCGTTTTTATTTTTATAGAATTTTCTGTAATATACCAAAGAACAAGTATAAAAATATACCATCTACGATCAACTAAAAAAAATGTATACTTTCTAATAAATTACTTTCTAGAAATTGTGTACACAATTATTTGACAATTTTTAGCAGTAAACTTTTGTCTTAGAATTCTTGCTGTAGAGCATCCATCATCTTATTTTTCCTAGCTCTTAGTAGTTTCCTTTCAACAAATTGCAACGTAATACCTAACTGCTTTGAGGTTTTTTGATATAGGAGGAATGAGATTAATTAGACCTCGAAGATAACATAATTTATCTTGAACTGAAAGTATCTTAGAAATACCATTAAGGATTACAGAAATATCCAGGTCCTGTCTTGTTTCTTGTTATTTTTTATAGTGAAATACGGCTCAATAAATAGATGGATCTCAAACTCATAAGTATATTCGATATTATATATTTTACATACATCACACATTTTTTATTGTTTTTGTAAAATTAAAGATAGAACATCGTTTAAAAAAAATCTGAACTTTCTGTCGGTAAGTTAACAGAGATTGTAATATTGTTTCTCTTCTTATTATATAAATTATGGTTACTTGGATTATTTGTAAATATTTTACATATTTTACGTTCAACTGTGTTCGAACAGTTTCTATTTTTAAGTCCGCTAGCAAGTTCAGTCCATGGTTGCAATTCATATATTTTTTTATTTTAGTAAAATAGCTCTTTTATGATAATTTTAGGCGTTAATTCCATTAATAAAATTATCAAGATCATTCAATGATCAATAAATGTAAATTAAGGAAAATATAATGTCATCAGCTTTAATTATAACATGTATAGAATTGCAGTTTAATAATATCTGTTTATAAATTGGCACAATATTTAGATAATCTGTAATAAAGATATTCACACAATCCCTTTCATTAAAAATACCTTTAGAGTTGATAGTTTTATAAACATTTAATTTTTAATCAAATTCATAAAGTAGCCATGCTTCACATAGAAAAATAATAATAAAAACATATTTAACTGAACTTAGTAATGCTATAACATAATTTATGCTACTAATATTTATATGAAAGATAGAATGATTATTATTTAATATTGATACGTCGACTATAGAATCTATATAGATGAAATTCAAATTATTAGTATTTAGATAATTATCAAAATTATATGTATAATTTTCCGATTGATTTCATACTACACTTTTCTTTCATCGATATTAATTAAATTTCAAGTATTAACCAACTTAAAAAAAATAATAAAAAAAAAATCGTTTGTTTTTTTATAGATAATGCTTCAAATTAACTTTGATATATAAGCATAATTATTTTTAATTTAAGACTTAGTAAGTAGAGTCATAGTAAATTTAAAATAAAAAAAAATAACGTTTAAATATAATTTATAAAAAATCGACACTACCATATCAACAGTTTTAGAAGTTTCGGCTTAATGAGTCTTCTATAACAAACATTATTATTTTTACGAACAAAATGTCTCAAGCAAGACAATTTAAAAACACTAATAAGCCTACAACCTCTGTTTGAATAATCGTTTTTTTATCACAGTGATTTATTGCTGCTATAAAATTTAAAACACCTTCTTCTTTTTTCCACACAATTCTTATACATGATTAAACAGATTTCTAATTTTGAACCGATCGATGCAAAAATCGTTTGTTTTTTTAGATTGTACTGATACACGCAATAAATGTGACGATTATAAACCACTAAACTGTGTAGAATTTATATTTCGTAACATTAGAAAAATAAAATTACAAGCTGCATTTCATTACATGCACTGTTTTGTACAAAACATTAATTAATTCAATATATTCTTTTAAATCTATTTTATATACAATTATAAATACTTATAATTTTCGTACAAGCCAAATCACGTCACTAAACATACAATGTGTCAATGATTTAAAAATAAATACTTTTTCATACACACCAAATATAGTAAACAACTGTACTTGGCTATCACTGACAAATAAATCAACTTCACTTATTAAAACGATTATTTATAAAAAAAATTAACCGGTTTAAAAATATAAATACAATTTAAAAAAGTTTTAGTATTTACATATTATTAAATAACCGATATTATGTACAGTTAAAATTATTTTACGAAAAAAAAAAGTAATAATAAAAATAACAAAATAAAATGAAAATAAGAATAATTTACGAGCAGCCTAATTTTTTATCCGCGGATGTCTCTTAAATAACAAAATCCATACGGTTGTACCGATTCAAGTACTCAAAGTTTTAACACCGTTAAGTTTGTTACCGATTAATTTCATTTCCTTTTCGTCCGCCTTCGCCGGCGACTCTCCGCTCGAATTCCATATCTGCACCTTCGACGTTCCGAAAAATATGTAAAGAAAACCGGAGCTAATGGACAGCGCTGCCGATATGTAAAACACTTTGTTCCATTGGGCCAGTGTTTGCTGAAAAAGGAAAACGTAAAACGTGAGAACTACTTTTACATGATTTACCGCACACGGTGCACCGGGGGTGAAGATGGAAGATTTAACGGTGACCTAAGACTTTGCGTAATATTAACAAAACGTTTTGTTTCGCGTGCCTTTCCGACCGCGATTCCGAACCCCATATTTTATTCGGCGAATCACACGGTCGGTGCGCCCCCGTAAGTTGTCATCTGTTTCCGGCGCACACGCGTTATAAACCAGCGGTACGAGGGGGTTCTGTTTGCCGTATTATATTTTCGCCGCGACGTAGCCGAACGCGCGACCACCGGATCATATGGGCCGGATGGTCTGGGACGTTTCCAGATGACATGGACATTTTCATCGTTGATGTATTTGTTAATAGTACAATTTTTATCTCCTACTGCTGTCCAAAACGTTTAAAATATTATTTTCCATTCATCATAAAAGTTAAATTTGATTTTTAATGTTGAAGAAAAACTGTATCGCTTAGGTATGATGAATACACTGATGTAATAATTAATAAGTAACACAAAACAGTGTTTAATTATTACAGTTTCAACTAAAATCATTTCGATAGCTTTAAACATTTTTACGGATAAATTGAAGTTAAATGCTAAAATAATCAAGACCATCTGGACCACGTAAGATCGGTTGATCGAAACATATAAGATCAGGGCTGCATTTAGAGGGAGGAACTGGCTACAACTGCCCCGGGTGCCAGTTTTTTGGGGCGCCAAAATTTTGCGATCGGAAATTTGCTCACTTGTGAATTATTGAACTTTTAAAATTATTTTGAAATTATTATTTTTTTTGTTTTTAATAACATTATCATAAACAGTGTTGGGATTATCTAGATAAAAATGTTTGTTATCTTTATCTTATCTAGATAATAAAAAAAGAACCGTTGCAAATTATTGAAAAAATTATTAGAAAAAAAAAATCACTCATCTAGATAATTAGATAAATTATTCGTGATCGTAAAGATATTTTTCAGTTTTCCAAAAATTGTCCATACTAGTGCTAAAGAGTAGACATATTTATTCGTTATTATTACATTTGTTTTATACAGTTATCACTATTCGCTAATCGGTATAATTCGTCTTATATAATTTAATATTATCAAAAAATAGTGTTTATTTCAGTACCTATTTTCATTTATCATTGATGTATTTACTATTACATGTTCAGAAGAATAGCTTATCGATAGTTGGCCATTGTTGTTCTAAAAATAAAATATTTGTTCCAATAAAAAATGAAAATAATCAAATAACACCGTATTACGAAATATGATACTGATATAATACCCCCATGGCCACTGCACTACTGAAGTCTAAAGTACTATCTGCAGTCCCATGGACTATAGTCTATTCGGAATAAGAGTGCCCAGTCACTTGGACGAAAACTGGTTTTTACTGCGCATGTGTCTTTTCCACTAGGAACGTTGGAGTATGCCGACGCGTTACGACGCTGTTATACGTAGTGAACTGTATTACCACACTCTTCTCGTAACGCCAAGCTATAGTTCTATTTTGAATAATAAGGTTTTTTTTTAATAATAATCTGTATACAAGGCATCAGTTACCTACTTTGATAAACAACGACGGCGGTCAAACAATGGCAACGAATTATCGAGCGTCTAGATATCGATGGGTGTCCGACCGTTATCGGCTTCTCAGAAGGCATGCGCGAGTTAGGGCACTCTCAATCTGAACAGACTATAACCACTCAATTTGATGAATTATTCGATAAAAGACTATATTACAATATACATGGCGGAGCAATAATACAATTAGAGAAACATAATAAATATTAGTCCTCAAAATTGAACACGTTGATGGACAGTTGCTAAATATTACTGCTATAGCAGTAATATGAATAGTTGATGTCGGGGGTCATTTTTCAATATTACTGCTATAACAGTAGCATACAAACCATCCAAAGTGTGTCATTACTGCTATAGCAGTGATATTTTCAATGGTCTCTTAAGAAAGAGGGAGTTGTTCTGACCCCGGACATCTTATCGGGCCATTGGGCACTCTATTTTTTAGCCTGTTTATACACGTCTTTGTAATCTACACACGTATTTTCCATTTTTATTCTTTTATCGATTATTTATAATTTATATAACTGGTATGTTTTTCTTATTTGAAAAAACAACATAGTACATATTCTATAGGTTATATTTATTATATTAGTACGTACACGATCGCCATTGAAGTATGATGGTAATTTCGAAGAACCCATACCGTACCACCAAATTATAAAAGAAAAAAAATTTAAAAATTGTGTATAGTGTTATAAACAAAAAACCAGAAAATAAACTTCCATTCAATGTCAAAAATGTAAAGTACCTCTGTGTCCACTATGTTTTAAAGATTACCATGCTGCTCAACCAGAAGGATGAATATAAAGTTAAAATTAATTAATTAATAAAAAATAAGTTTAAAATAATGATCTAAGTATTGTATAAGTATAATTTTTCAATAATATAATAAAGTTTTTTTTATTGCATTTTGTTTTATTTCATTAAATAAAAATAACTTCTCTATCTTTTTATGCATTCCTTAAAATAAATTGTAGTTTCCAACATAATAATTATTAAATAATTAACCAATAAAATGTAATACTGGTATAGCAGTAATTTTGTAATCAAAAATGTGATGTCGGGGATCAGTACTGTTATAGCAGTACTAAAAATATTACTGCTATAGCAATAATGAAAAGTGACGTTTTAAGGGTGGTGTTTTTGAAAAAATAATTAAATCAACTGTCCATCAACGTGTTAATAAATATACAGGTATAACAACGTGTATACACCTCAGGGGCGTGTTTAGGGGGTGATTGGGTATTAGAACACCCCCCATCGACCATATTCTATGATATTTCATTAAATTACAAACTTACAGTATAATTTCAATAAACGTTGTATACAACTTGTCGATTTTACATCCACTATCTTAATATAATCATTTTCATTAGTATAATAATTAATATAAATACATGGTATTTATTAAATAAATTATATAAATTTTATATAATATAGGAGGGGGGGGTAGAGCCTCCCATTTACTATACGTCTATTAAATTTTAAAACACCCCCGTTAAATGAATCCTGGATACGCCACTGATACACTATCTATGGAAATTAACTGTGACTTTATCTTACAATATATTTTGGCATTTTGTTAATACTAAGAACACGTCTATATAATATAATTGATGTTCACAAATTTAATGAAGTGGTATTAATGCTTAAACATTTAAGTTGGTAGAACTAGTTTCAAAATGAAATAAATGAAATAATTGTTATTATTAAATGACGCAATAGTGCTAACTGCTAAGTTATAGCTTTTCAGCATCAAGTACCAACATTGTTTCAATTTTCGAATTGCGTTGAATGTTGATATGGACAAGTTTCTCGTAAAATATGATGCAAGTGCTCGTAAACGTCATATTGTAACCAATTAGGACTAGGAATTGTGGTAGTACTCCCTTCTCATCTTCTATTTCTCTTTCTACTGCATGGGTATTATTTAGAGAATGCAAAGAAGATATCATGTACACTGGTTTGTTATCCAACCATTTGAATAGTTCTACGTTATTATTACTAATATAATAATTTATTTATTTATAATTTCAGTAAAATAATTATTAAATATAGGTAGTATCAATAGTTTCTTGTTATTATATTCACTATTTATTGTATTATTGTACAAGTTGTTGAAATAATAATTTACACTAATTAATTGATTATTACAGTAACCTATTCAATCTGTAATACTTCTACTGTAATCTGTTGTAACTACGTCGATTTTTAAAATATCAAAACCATATTGCTGATTGATTATGGTAATAAATATAAAATTTATCTCGAATTTATCTAGATAAAAAGTTAACTTTATTATCTTTATCTTCACCTAGATAAAATATTTTTCATCTTTATCTAGATAAGATTTGATTTATCTGGACTCAACACTGATCATAAATTAATGTTAATGTATTTAAGTTATTAATATATATTATTAATGTATTTATAGCAATATAGCTATAAGCGATCCAGAATATTATTAATATACCTAATATTAATTCCCAAATTTGTGAATGTCAATAAACACAAGTTATTTATAATACGGCGTATTATGTTATCGCGTGCGGTGTGCGGTGACATGCCTACTACATAAAAATAGCATTGATTTTAGAATATCTAAAAGGTTCATGAGGATCTATCTCCTATATTTTCCGTGGGCAGGCCCCTTAGAGGGGCACCAATTTTTTTTTTTTTGCACCAGGGCGCAAAATGTCTAAATACGGCACTGTATAAGGTGCAAAAGTACACACACACACACACACACACACACACACACACACACACACACATTTACAAGGTGACACAAATCGTATCAAAATGTTATCATATTGTTCAAGTCAAATTAAGACACGGAGACAAATCGTTATAGATCCGTGACAGTTATGAAATCAAAAACGATTAGATATACTGAGATGACCGTGAAACGCGATGGTAAAATATTGAAGTCATGACATAGTACTGCGAAGTGTGTTTTAGAGTTCACGCAGAGGCGTAACTGGGAAAAAATGTAGATGTAGGGGGGCAGTATAATATATTTATTATTACCAAAACCCTGACACCCCTTCCTCTCATCGATTAAAACATTTTTTTATTGTATGCATTTTATACACTATATCTAATTGTTTGATTTTACATAATTCTTTTAACTCATTTTATGGTTTAGATAAACATAAATTGTAGGTAGCAGGTACTAGGTACCAATATTGTTAAATAATACCCATAAGAGTTCATTAATAAAAGGTGCTATTTGTACTGTTGGATTATCTGGGGGAGGGGGATTATACCTTTATCTCTCAAAAAAATGTCAGAGGGGGCACTTGCACCCCCTTGTTCCCCCAAAATTACGCCACTGGGTTCACAGAAATAGAGCCGGATAAAAAATGGGGTAAAATAAATCGATTTCTACCGCTAAGAAAGAATTATTATTGACCAAAATGGATACGCTCCAGTAACCTTCTTTCTATACAAACATGTATATTTTATTAATAGTATTTAGATGAATAATAGCAATTGATAGGAATTAATCTTACATATATATATATATACATGGATTGTTATCGCCCTATCCCTGAAAAAATGGCAGTGTATTTGAATTCTAAAGATATTCGAATATTTCAATTAGAATACATTGGACATTTCAATTAAGTATTTTTAAAACAGATAATTAATTAAATCTATCAAAATACTACACATTGCTACATTATAGGGTAAACACAAATAAATATCTGTTGGACACATTTTATAGAAGTATAAACGGTCCCATGAAGATGTATTACAACTCTACAAAAACTTTTTGGAAAAATATAAAACTTTGGTTTTATCAATAAATTACACAACCTACATATTTTATCATAAGACGTATGATAAATATTCAACATATTCATACATATTTCAGAAAGTTTATATTAGTTTTGGGATTTGTTCATTTTTAAAAACAAAAAAAAACAGTGCTCAACATTTCTAGGAAATAAGATTTTTGATTTTTAGTTATAGTTATTATTATGCAATTACCATCATATTCTAAAGACAATTTGATGATAACCTGTTAGGTATCAATTTGGTTTAATTGATCAAAATTCGTATCGATAATAAAATATGAAAATACAACAAGAAAAATTACCATGAAAAATTCTAAATTATTTTGTGTCATGAATTAAAGCAATTACCTGATTGATGGTTAAAAAGCCCACGACCATCGGTGATAGAAATCCCGCAAACACACAAAAACTGCCAACTATACCTTGAATGATACCTAAAAGACAAATAATTCAAATTTATTAATCTACAAAAAAATAAAGTATGCAATAGCTGATACCGATTGTAATGTACGCATGCGAGACATGGTCCATAACACAGGGGGACGAAGAGAAGCTACTCACCTTCGAAAGAAAAGTCTTACGGAAAATTTACGGACCTGTGCGAAATCGAATTGGGGAATATGAGAGACGAAAGAACGATGAACTAGGAAGGTTATATAACAAACCCAATATCTGTTTGTTCTTAAAAGCAAAACGATTATCGTGGCTGGCCATGTCTGGCGTGCTAGTGTAAGTGTCATACGGAATGTCCTAATCCGAAACCCAACAAAAAAGCGACCAAGGGGAAGACCTCGACAGCGGTGGTTAGATAGAGTTAAGAAAGATATTTCAGATACCGACGAGACAAAGCGATTGGAAGATGCAATGGACCGGAATGTATGGAGAAGTTTGGTTGAAGCGTGCAAAAGGCCTTAATGGCTTGTATAGCATAAGAGAAAAAAAAAAGAAAAATAGCTGATGTATTATGCGAGTTTACACTAACAAAAATTAAAAAGTGTAGAATTTATTTTTTAAGTGAATTTTATATTAGGTGTAAATTTTTTTTTTTTTAATTAGTACATAAACACAATTCGTTGTTATAATATATAAAATAGAGTTAAAGTATTCGTGTTATTTATATACGAGTACGGTAAAATAATTTACCAGCATTGTTTATAATTTAATTAAAATTACCCGCAAAATTTGGAGAAATATCTACTACTGCGGCCAATGTTCCGGAAGATACGGCACCATTCACGGCAGTTGCACTGATAAGCATTACAACTGCAGCAGTGGAATTGCATCCAGAATAACAGAGGCCCAAAATGAATAATCCTTGTAAGACATTACCTATACGTTACAATTATAACACAACAATAAATATAAAGCATCCAAACGATCCAAGTACACGAATTAAAATAGTTCATAAATGTTTTACTAAAGCCAGTCGCAAGTTTGCGGACATTGGTCATAGACATAGTTTTGGACTTCACTATATGATCGCACATCGTACTAAATCCGAAAGAAAACATCCATCGAAATAAGTGTGGTACTCCAGACCATAAACCTGTCTAAAAAACGATTCTTTTTATATTTGCGGTTGCCAGTTTTCATGTTAAATAATACCTGTTTAATATTTAAACCTAATATAAAATTAAAGTATGTCGGAGCTTGAGTTGTGAGCGTGAATAAACCCCAGATGGCTCCTCCTTGCGCCAATAAATTTACTATTAATGCTTTGGATAGGATCAATGATTTCCATGGTATCGGCAACTGTAACAATATCGAAAAAAATCAAAAATCACAACAAAATAATAATATTAAGTGTTTAATAAAACACGTATATACACGTATATATATATGTTACGGGCAAAGTATACAATTTGGGCATTTTATACATTATCCCGACAGTATATAAAATGCCCTTCGTATATTGAGCAATGTAGATAACGGATAATATGATTTAAAGAAATATGATAAATCAATGAATAGTAACATGTATTTGTATTATTGATTAATTCATCTCAGTAGATATAATTGGTTGCACCACCAATCCTTTCTTGGCTGTTTTTTTTACACGATTCGCAACTATTTAAGTATAGCATAATGATATATCTGATGATATTTTTATATTTTGTATTTACCACGTGTTCCATCCTGTTTCATCCACTATGTCTAATCGATAAATGAACATTATATATAACATCAAATAACTCTTCATTATGTACATATTATTTAATTTCGTTGTTTTCAGATACTGGTACAATTAACTTTTTAACATCAGAAATTTTTAACACGTCATATTTTTTTAAAAATTTACAGTTATTCGGTTCCTTTTTCTTTGAAATGTTTTTTAATTGATTTATAAGTAAAATTAATTGATCATATTTTAATTTGGTAAAAAATGAAGTATTTGAATCTTTTTTTTAACAAATTATTTAAATCTTCATTAAACTTTTCATATTTGAATAAGTAGTTAAGTACCACCCGTTATCTATATTTCCCAATATATGAATGGCATTTTATGTACTGTCCCGGCAAATGTATAAAATGCCCAAATTGTATGCTTTGCTCGTAACATATATATATATATATATATATATATATAACAATAATAATATCAATTATATATAATATTATTTTTTGTTATATTAGATAACAGTCTATAGATTTTACGCTCATTATTTTTTTTAATATTTGAAATATATTTCTAAGCCTTTTTCACTAAACTTATTATTAATGCATGTTTTAGTTTTATCCATGGCTTTATTTTAACATATTTAATTGAAGTCTAGTTATTATTTCAATAATTTCAAAGTATTATTAACTATATACCTATATATTGTTAAGATTTATAGTTTTTTATTTTTATAAAAAATTAAATATTTACTTTTTTTTATGACAAGTAAGTACAAAGTTTCTTGATCAGTGTAATATCAATATCGATTTTTATTTAAAAAATGGTAAAAACTTTTATTCTATTCGAAATTAAGGTAAATTTAAAAAATATAATAATTTAAAACATAAATATGTGTGTATACAAAATTAATTAAAATACGTACACAATTCATAATATTTGTTAGTTTTTAATTTATTACATAAACCAAGTCAAATGAAGCAGACAGAAAATCGGTGTTAGTGTAAAAAAAGTGTTTAATGTAGAGTAATTTAATGAATTTTAGTATGTAACAGGAAAAAAAATGCCTCTTTTCACTAATGTTTTTCCCATCGTATTACATCGAGCAACAATAATATTAATCAAAATCAAATTTCAAACTAAGTTTAAACTATCAATAAAAATCATATGTGAAATAAATATAATACGTATGTATTATTTTATGAGAAAATAATTCTCAATAAGGATGAAATATTTTACCAATAAAATCTGTTAAAAGTATGATAAAACAATAATTTATGAAAAAGTCAAATATGTACATACGCACCCCGAAAATATTTAACAAACTGTTTGTATCATCTTGAAAATTAAAATGTTTACGATATTCATGTAGTTATTAGTGGTAAACTTTTTTAATTACTTGAAAAATGCTTCATTTAATGTATTTGAAATTGTGGAAGCCTTATACATATATGTACAAAAAATACAGTGCATAACTCAATTTTCAGAATAATGGAATGCAAAAGTCTAGTTGATTTAAATGATAATAGATTTAATTAGGGGATTAGTGAGTTCTAATACAGTTCAATATGAACCAGGATATTTTTATTGAATTGGTTTCCAAAAAGGTACAACGTATGTAACACGTATATATTAATGCAATTCAATTAATTTATTTTGAATTTGCGTTCTTCGATACTTTTCTGTAATTAGACTATAAAAAAAATACTATTACACTGATAAATATAGACGAAAATAATAGATAATAATATGATAATATTTTCTTGGTCAAAAGCATATTTCAGTTGTATATGAAATATATATAATCATGATATAAAAGAAAATAATTAAAAACTATTGTTCGAAAAGAAAAAATGTAGAAATGCAGCAGAAATTAGATAATAAACAATTAAATTATAGAAACATAATTGCATAATATAATATCTCACTGGGTAGATTTAGTTTGAAACATTTCACTCGTTGGTTTTGCTTTACACAAAAACGGTAACAATGTTATAATATTTATTACCGTACATCGTATGCCTATGGTGTGTGGCTATTTTTATGATTTTTTCGGTTCATTGTTTCTCTTACCGGGTTTGATTTGGATTGAGATGTTTTAATAACACAACTTTCGATGTAGATTCTTTCTCTTTCACTAATCGTCGGGTGTTCAGCTGGCGTGTCATAAACAAGTAACATCCAAGCAACATACCACAAGAATCCCAGTGCTGCGGTGACGTAGTATACGCTCTCCCAGCCGAACATGGCGATGAGATACCCACACATTACATATGTCACTGCTGTGCCGAACGAACTCCCTTTAAACACACAAGAAAAAAAAAAATTTATAAAAAGAATCATATGAACACAAAACTAAAACGATTGTTTCAATACCAAAACATATACCATATTAAGTACATTACTGTACGATTACAAAATAAATCCACCGTTACAATAATAAATAAATATTAAAAAAAATCAGATAATAAGACTTTTTTTATTATATGATAACATTTTTATAATCTGTATTGCATCAAAGAACTTAAATCTGGACTGTTATTATTTTACTAATATTATTTTAGTGTGATTGTATTTTCTGTTTAAAAATATAAAAAATGTCTAAGCTAAAATAATGCAATTACTTCTTATTTATTATTCTTATTTTATTTATATCTTTTATTTATTATTATTATGATTATTATTAATCATTATAATTTTAAAATCAAATTTAACTTTTCAATAACTAAATTAAATTAATTAAAATCTATTAAACTTCGGGTATGCTATGGTTTGTATTTTATATAAATGCTTTGTAGTAAAATATTAAAATAAAATTATTATAAGATACAAGATATAATAATATTATAATAGAACTGTTCATTTCAAATACTGAAAAACATATATAATTTAATTAAAAAAGGATCTTGAATTCTTTATTGTACATTTTATTTGTGTAAAAGTGAATTGTGATAATTATATTTTATCGTAATTATATTTGTCAAATTTTAAGTCCCTTGACAAAAAATTGTTTTAAAATGCATTTTAAAATAATTTTTTCAAAAAAAAATAAATCCGTATTTCTAATGCGAAATTAAATATACATTAATTACACTTAATGTACACTCTAATAAATAGGCACACTTATATAAAATTTTTTTTAACAATTTATTTCCAAATAAAAAAAAAATTTTCATAAATTATAATATTTATTAAATCATTAGGTATAAATTGTTATGAGATAAAAGCGAGAATATTCAATAATAAAAATAAAATATATGTACATTGCTAATATAGTTTTTTCTTTTTATCTAAAATTGTATAGGTAAATTTTTTTTTTTAATTAAAAATATGGGTAATTGCAGAGTTTTTGTTTCATAATGAATTTATCAGTGAAATATAATAAATCGAGTATATCCATTAGTCTTTCAAGTAAGTACGTACTTAAAAAAATAATTATATAAGTTTCTCTAAATGAAGATTGAATGCGTATTATAAGATTTGTGAGTACACAGTTAATATGCAGTTATATTAACTAATATTATTTTGATAAATTTTCTTAATTCACATATTATACTACAAAAACTCTAAACTTTGAAGTAAATATAAAAAAATAAGTTATTTTCTTCAAATAAATGTTAGATTTATGAAAATAAATAAATCTGATCTAACAAAAAACTTATTTCTCCTAAATAAAACGTGTAAGATTTAATATTGGTATATAACTTCATAAACGTGATCTGTTATTATGTATACATCTATATTAGATGGTTACACATATAAATGTACACCTGTATATATTATAATATATAATACATCTATTTACCTATATATTTGTTTTTATATATCATTTTACGTTTACTCTAAGAAAATTTGGTTTGCTTAAATAGTCCGATCATGTTTATTCCTTGAGAAACTTGAAAAAATTTAAAATCTATTTTGAAAAACCGTTAATATCGATTATCGATTTTATAGATCTTATACTATGTATACAAATAATATAAATTATTTATCTTTTATTGGTAGAATTCTTAAAATATAATGCATAATAATTTGTTTCAACAATAACTCATCAACGTAAATCTGTATACGAAATCAGTATACCTGTTATAATGACATTTTATTAAATAATACTTGTCAAACTTTCGTCATTCAGCACAGTTCATATTTTATTTTTTTTATTTTTATTTTTGGATATAATATAATTAATATCAATAAACATAGAGTGCTCACCATTCATTTTTTTTTAACTTAACACTCATAATCTTATAATTTTATCGACTTCTAGTACTCGAATAGTTAAATTTATACTCAATATTCTAAACTAAACTGGTTTAAATATTAAGTGCATACATCTGAATCAAATTGATAACAGGTTAAATAAAACAAATTACATAAATATAATATATTAGTACAAACGAATTTAATTGAGTTGTTTGATGGCTACAATATTTGCATTATTCTAGATCCTTCGTTCTTATTTCATAAGAAGTCGTAATAAATAATTACGAAGAATTTTAGAAATCCTTCACGATATTGTGTTTACCATTTTTAGCACTTAAGAACATTGTTCCCCAGTTAGAATGTAAGTAAAAATTTAAAAACAAACATTAATCTAACAAAAGTCGGATAATACCTGTTTTTTAATAAAGTCGAATTTTCCACAGACGGGTATCTATTTAGATCAAAAACAATCATCATAAATCAACACAATCGAAAAAACAAATTTAAGTAGAGTTCAAGGTAATACAACTCTTAGTTTTAGGTTAGTGATGTTGTGCAAAATTTAAAGGATTCCACATTTTTCGTAGACTTTAGAAACACTTTGTGGATAAATTAAGTACCTAATTAACATTTGTTATAAAGGCTACCAAGAATTTCGAGATATTTTGATTGTATTACTATGAATAACAAATGAGATTTTTAATAAATACATTTTTTTTTTTTTTCAAGTAAGTTTATTTTATCTTAAATAATAATTTAATAGGCATAATATGTCTATCGCATATTATGCGATTTGAAAATAAACAATCCTATAGATTAAGTTCATTGTTTATAATTATGAAACGTAGCATTGAGTTATAGCGTAGGCATATAAGTACTAGAATACTTATATCGCTGTTTTAATATTGCGGTGTCATTACTCTTGACAGTCCACATTTTTTTTGTATTCTAACAATAAAATTACTAACAGTTGTCTTATAACATGTTATCAAAAAATAGTTGAAAATTACAATTGCTCTATAAATTATTAACAATCTATCGCGTACATTTTTATCGATCGTACTGTTCGATAATCATTTTATGGATTTAGTTTGATTTTGTATGCTATAAAATATATTAAAACAAAATAAATAAATAAATATACTATAAAAAATAATAATTTTTGTCTAAAACAGTAAAATCTACAAACTTTCTTGACACACGACCAATAAACCAATATTTTTGCCTATATTAGTATTTTTGTGACAGCTGATTTGGGATTCGAATGAGAAAGAAAAATAGGATGTATGAAAACATAAACTGGTAAGTATGTGAATACATATTAAATTGCATAATATATATTTTATGTATGGTTTTTATTTTTTTCTATTAATAATTGAAAGCACGATTATCGTGACAAAATTAGGCCGTAACCTGAAGGCGTGTCCTGATTCTCTGGTCTGGAGGAGATCAAGGACGGTCAAGGATAGAAGGGATGTAGTACTACACGGGTTCTTTATATTTCTTAATATTATATTCATATACCTATCGATGTGAAAATCTATCTACAGTAATTTTATAATTGAATTATTCGTCTAAACTACCTAAACTTTATACTAAATTAATAAAGATGTCTTATAATTATTATTAAAACTATTAATTCAAACTATATAATTTATACTGACGTAACGGTCATACCCTACACCGATGATAAAATAATTTGACCACCATTGAAGGTATATAGACATTAAATATTAATAATAAATTAAGAACACCTCTCAATTTTTTAAACCATAACAATTAACCAATCAAATCTCTACAACAATTTAACTAAATATTTTATTAGTTATTTCTTATCTAATTGTATTATATTATATTTTTTATAATTTAATTTGCTTTATGAGTGCTTTTTAATCTTCGGAAGTTTAAAAAACTTGAATGATAACAACATAAAACGCATATTAATAAACACGGTTAACAATTCCAACTACCAGCTTAACAGCATAATAATATTATCATATTATATAAACAAGTTAATATAAAATAAAAACACAATCATGCTGGTCTAAAGCTAGAATACCAACGTTTAAAACAGCGTTACGAGTAAATTCCACCCTACAGCCATCTCCTATAAACACGTTTATGAATACACTATTGAATATTCCGAAGGGATGGTGGATCATGGCAGACATATACATCATATTATTATATTATTATTATAGATTTATTTGCGTTAGGTTAATAAAAATGTATCGAGTTACCCAAATAAGCCGAAACGAATCTACTTCTTTCGTGTGGCGGTATCCATACGGCCGTCATCGACTGCATTGAAGGCCAAACACCACCCTGCAGCCAAAACGGCACATGGATTAAAATCGATATATTATACCGGACTAAAATGTTAACGGGCTGAAATGTTTTATACTGCTATGAATCCCTGGACGAGTCTTACGCCGAGAAGCGTTTTGTAATTGATTTTGGCCGCGATGGGTATGGCACAGGATAGCATCGCTGCCACGCCGTTGCTCAGACCGTAAACCTTTTTCGTGCCGTACCGTTGTGCCAATACTCCGCCTGGTATTTGCATGATCATGTGCAATGTGAAAAATGCGCCCAGCACCGAATTCGTCTCGTATTCGTTCCATTCGAACTTGTTATCCTTGAAAAATATAACGCAAAATAATAATAATAATAATAATAATAACGATCATGTATCGGAAAACGTTCCAAAATTATATGTATAATATTATGAATGTAAAATATTTAAAGCACAGACGGATATCGTTCGGGTGTTTTAACGATAGCACGCATAAGAAAAAAATTTAAAAATTAAAAATTCGTATTTGATTTACATCTGTGTTTGCCGGAGACTGTTGTCCATAGGTATTATTCAATTTCAACGACATGACGTATGCATCGGGACATTCGCTTTCAACGGTTACATTCTTAATGGAATGTTTAACCATAGACACAATGGCTATGTTGATATTCATCCGAAACATGTAGTTTACAGCGAAACCCCAAAACGTCATGTACCATAATATTGTTCGTTCTGCAATGTGATTTCGTATTTAAAATCAATCAAGGTACTTGAAAGGGATACAGAAGGAGATGCAAAATAACAGAGAGAGATAGAGAGAGAGAGAGAGCAATAAAACGAGATAGGTGTAGAATAGAAGTAGAGAAAGAAGGATGAAATGAACAAAGTAATACTTACTGTCCATATTATTTTGTTCGTATACGCAATTAAAGTTTTTAGCGTATACTAGAAACGCGTCGTTCGAATGCACTGAAAGGTAACTCACGTCTGTTCTACTACTTCAGATGTATCGCCTAACGTTCTATATCAATACTTGATAATATATTTAATTAGTAAAATTATCTTTTAATCACTATTAACAAATGTCTAGTATTTACCTAATAAAATGTTTATACTCATGTATACTACAGTATCTACAATGGATATTAATCTAATATATTATGTTAATTATGCTAATAGCATTATAATATGAACCTATTAAAATATTTTTTATTTACATCATATTATCAACTAAACCTTATTTTTCTGAGTGACCCCGCTCGATTCCAATCGTATAAAAGCAATTAAAATGATTTTAGTTTTCACAAAACTCGACGGCATGGGTTTATTTTAAAATATTTTAACCGTTTAGACGAGACAATAAATTACAGTTTCAATTAAGGCCAGTGAGAACTTTTAAGGGCCCTGGGGTTGATCAGTTCCAGGTCCCCTTTATTTTGGCCAAGATATACATACTACTTGTAAATACTTTAGTACAATAAAAATATTCAAACTTGCATCTTATGCTACGGTGAATGAAATAGTAAAAAAAAAATGTTGCATAAAAGACTGAGACGACGAGCTACGGATCTCTAGCCCTACCTATCCCACTCCATCACCGGCCCTAGTTTCAATTCAAAAGTATAAACTAATTATAACGTACAGAAATTGTAGCATTTAATAACAACTAATGCCATAAGTACAAAGTGCAGATCAACTATAATTATCTCAACAAGATTCAATCATTAATAGACACCAATAATAGTTTTACTTATGAATATTATAGTAATCGCTAAATAACTATCGATAACCTACACCAACATAATCTAAATCACTCCTCGCTTACTCTCAATACCAATAAATTAAACAAAAAAACTTATTTTTCTAATTAATTAGTATAATACAGTCAAATTAATCTCGTATTAACATTTTCAATCTCGTAGATAAATTATTAAAATGATTTGATTTTACTTATTTGTTTTTATAAATGTAAGATTTTTGAATCAATCGTTAATTCATACTAATATAAATATTTATAGGCTTATTAATTTTAGTACCTGTATACAGGATAAAGCAAAGAATTTGATAGTTTTAAAATAATTTTTTTCTAATACAACTAATACACGATGTACTTTAGTTTTTCGATTTTATGAATTTCAGTAATTTTGTAATCGCTAGTACAGCTAAAAATGTATTATGAACATATCTTTATCATTTGTTCGTGTTTGTACAAGATAAACCTTGTACCATAAGGTTTTCGAAAATATGTACAATTTTATTTTGAATAGTGTTGTATACAAGTATAATATACTTATTTATCTTCATTCTCAAAGGTTCTTTTGCCATGTTATTTTGTCAGCTGTCGTTTTCACCATTATTTACACATAGATAACGTAATGACGAAGTGGTAAGGAACGACAACTACCATCATTATTTTTTTTGAATTTCTTACAGAAATTTAATATGTCATTCACGTGTATTTTTAAGATTATTTTTTGTCTGCTTGTCACTTCATGTCCGACTCGTATGAATTATTTTTTGTAGTATGTATTAGAAAAATATTGAATTTCAGCCCAGATTTTTCTTGTTAAGACTTTAATATGCCTAACATAAAAATCAGTTGACAATAGAATTTACAAAATTAAAGCTATTTTCGCTGTGATCATTTTAAATGTTAAATTGTTTGGTCCAAATCGTATGTCTGTATATTCTGTAATATTCTTATGAGGTAATATAAAATCAGGGATGCCGCGTATCAGCGCATCCCAACCTATGAGTCACGAACCAAACTTGGGTCGCAAAATAATTTTGCTGGGTCACTGTTCGTAAACTAATAACAAAAAAAAAAATGTCTCAATTATTAAAATTTAAATATATTTATCAGAATTAAGTTTGGCAGTATTGCGTTAAATTATATGATAAAGTTCCTTATAGCAAAATTATTAGTTATATTATTACATAAAAGCATACTAGGTAATTTTTTTTTGAGGTCATCTACTCAGTTCAAAGAAAATATATGGGTCACCTTATCATAAAGACTGAGAAACATTATTGTATATTATGCTATGTGAAATATAAATTTTTTTGTATATTTCTTTTTTTACTTATAAGGCAAAATCCCGTATGTAAACCTAGAATCTCAAATAAGTTAAATTACCCCAGAAATAACGTTGGTTTTGTTTCTTCTATGTCTGCAGTGTGTGTATTATCTAGGCTACAGTGGTGATTTTTTTTTCGATTACAGTATTAATATACCAGTCTACTGGTAAAATTAAGTGAATAAAAGCAGCTTTTGAGTTTGTTTCAACTATTCGTAAAACTATAAAAACAATACTGTCAAAGCTTCCAGGTTTTAACACATGTAAGTTAATAATATATATATATTACTTCCTGAAACTTCTATGATTATAATTTATTATCAAACCTACACTCGTCAATCATACTTCTCGCTGGTCGTAAAATGAAAATTATACTAATCAAATGTCATAACCATACAGGGCTGGACTCGGCAGTCGGGATACCGGGAGTTTCCCGGTGAGCCGCTTGTTTAAATTAGGCCACTTTTACTTGTAGGGAAGTTTTTTATTTTTTAGGTTTATCGGTTTAGGCTCATTGTGTCGACAGACATAAACGCATTTTCTAATACGCTTGCATTAGAAACTCTCTAAAATTAAATAAACAGTCTCTTAATTTTTAATAATAATATTAAGTCTTCAAATTCTTAAAGTAATACACAATAATTTTATAAGAAATAATACATTTTTTTTTTTAGTTGTTTTTATACTTTTGGTTTGGTTAGGTTTTTTTTTTTTTTTACTTTCCCGGTAAAAATTTCTGACCAAGTCCGGCACTCTATCCATATAATGTATTGACTATGTGCCTGTAATTTATCAAACACAAATTTCGATTTTTTTATACATATAATATTTTGATCGCAGAACTGATAATACTCGAAATATAACTTTGTATTTGGATAGAGTAGGTAGTATTGAATTATGATAACAATTTAATATTGACGTCATTTGTGAAAGCGCCAAGTCAGACAATATAAATTCTAGAAAACTTATCAGTCTGCAATAAATAGGTAGTTGGCAAAAAAATACTTTTTTTTATATAATGATAAAATCTGGTGGTATCATTGGACAATAATTACAACTATGGTTACGTGTTCTTAATTATGTTTTTTCTTATACATAAAAATAAAAATGAGAATACTAATGTCTTGATGTTAAATAAATTGCAAACCTTTATTCAAAAATAATAATATATTATAGTACACACGATGTTACAATTAATTGTATTATATTTTTAAAGTATATTACGTATTTGTATATATTTAAATATATTTACTATAAAAAACTGTCTTATCAGTTATGACGAAATTAAATTAATAATACTTTTGGAACACGTGCTACCTTTTATCATAATCATTTACTTATGAAATATGATGTTATGTCTATATCTCCCCACATTATACCTTTCAAATGAGTTAATTTATTAATTGTGATAATTTAACATTGCAAAGTATGAACGAAATTCAAACCAATATTTGTCCTGTAATAAAATAAAATCTTCTGTTTACAATTGTAATGCCTTTAATATTATAGCGATAAATATTTATAGTGTGAGAAAACATTATGATAAATTATGATTAACTTTAGATAATACTCCGCTGGTATTTTATGTTATAATATTATATGAAGCTTGGCTTGGTAATAAAACAAAGACGCAAATTTTTTTTTCTAATCCCAAACTTTTCTCTTTATTTTTCTAATCTTCATAAAAATAAAAATGGTGGTATCATGGTATTTATACATAATTTAATAACTATTATCTTCAGCACTGATATGATCGCTCAATCACATATTGGTTAAGAAATTCACTTAAATAAACGGAATACTACCTTTTTAATTTATGCAATATATAGATTTTCAAATAGTAATATATAAGTGTTTATCGATAAACTAGAAAATAATGATTTAAAAATAATCTTAAATAATCTAAAATTATTTTATTCATATTTATCTAACAGAAAACAATGTGTCAAAATAAATAATACTATAAGCTCTTTAAAATAAATAAAATGTGGTGTTCCTCAAGGTACAGTTGTCTCACCAATTTTTTTTTAATATACAAATAAATGGAGTTCATTTACTTCCCCTTAAAAGTCAAATTATATGTTATGTAGACGATACCGTTATGCTTTGTAAAACAAACTCACGGGATGAAATATTTGAAATAATTAATAGGGACCTAAAATTAATAACGCTATGGTTGCTTTAAATAAAATAACCTATTTCTTAATTTTGTGAAAACTTGTGTTGTTCTTCATGTATTGATGGAAAATACAATACCTCCATAAATTGTATTCAAATTAATAATACACCATGCAACATACCTACGGTTTGCTCCTATGAAACTATTGTTCTAATTCCATTAGATACTTAAGAATTAAAATCTGCAATAATATGAGATGAAAAAATTAAATAAATGTTTTAAGTAAAAAAAATAAGAAAAATTATTTATATTTTTGAGATCATCGGCCGGTGTGCAATAATGTGACTTCCACTACTATGTGATATTCTGTTTAGATCTTAAATGTGACCTTCCCGTTTTATATTCATTAGCCATATCATGAGCATCACTAAAAACTTATCAAAAGAAAGACTTCCATACGTAGGCATATTTAGATTGAAAATGTAATGTAAATTATTAATCTGTATGTGAAGTACTATTTGGGTCCCAAAATTGACTACACATTTCAATTTCTGTGTCGTCGCATGAAGTTCGGGATAATCTAGTTAAATTAAGGACTTCCATGCGTAGTTCAGTTTGTAATGAGTTATGACCATGTTAAGTAAAAAATAAAAGACCAAAATATATGTATATATCGTTTTCTTGCGGTCTTAAAATTAACGAAACATAATTTGAAATACTAGTTTTTAATTTGCTTAGTATATTATTATAGACTAGTAATAAGTTATTACTAGAGCCCGGATTTATATGCAATTAAAAAGTGTAAAATATG